TAAATAGAAAGTAACACAAAAACCAAATAGTTAAAACAACTTATCTTGGCAACAATAAGTCCCTAGGAAAACTCCTCTGGGCAAAACAAAACTAATTCATGGTTGTAAGATAAGTCCTAGGCACAAAACCAGTCACTGGTCTCTGGGTGACAGCAACATCCACAATCCACGGCAACTATTTAAAGAAGTGAATAACTAACATCCTTGAGGGAATATTTTCAAGTTAATATTCTTAGATGAATATTTTTAAGTGATAAATATTTTCAGTGACGGAATCTAAAAGGATTAATTAATTTAATAAATGTAATTCAATAGCTGTAGCAGCATGGATTCACTTTACCAAAACAAAACATCAAACATCAGGTTAGATATATTTGTCATGTCAAAATTCCCGAAGTTATTTCCCAGCATGATAGGAAATGAACATGCGCAGAATATAATAGCTGTCCAATAATTGTAGGACCTATTATATTCCACCAAAAAAAGTTAGATAAAAATTGAACCAAAAAACTTAATGATAACGACGTGGAATTTAAGTTTGACTATATAAAAAATGACCTTCTGTTCTTTGCAAGTAAATCAAGGAAATTTTATAGTTAAATTATTTCGGAACTCAAAAATAAGTCTCTAAAGAAATATTAAACTGCAAGGATAGATTTTATTGTATAATAAAAGATAATACGTATAAAATAATGTACTTACTGGAACTTGCAACACGCCAAAAAAAAATATCCTTATTATGTGGAACTCTTACATTAGAAAATCTTGATTTTTAAAATTTACTTCTTATTATTAGTATTACTGAGATATTATTAACGAATTAGATATTATTTTATTCGTCCCAGATTATTTTTCTGTTCCAATTCCGTCACTTTAAATTAGCTGACGTGCTGCGTGAGTTTCTTGACCAAACTGCCGGTTGGCTTCGGCACAAACTCCTTCCAGCCTTCCAAAAAGCGAAACCTGCGCGTATAGGTGGTTTGAATCGACCGCTGGCGGGTCATAAGAAATTTCGTGAGGGGTTTCTATTAATACAATTTTAAATTGTATTATTGGTAATTAGTAGCGTAAACGCTACATTAACTTAAAAATAAATCTCTAGGAAATACTACACTGCAATGACTGCCATGAATTTTAGTGGATGATAAAGAGGTAATAAGTATGAAATAATGTACTTACTGGAACTTGCAACACGCCAAAAAAAAATATCCTTATTATGTGGAACTCTTACATTAGAAAATCTTGATTTTTAAAATTTACTTCTTATTATTAAGAAGCCCACGTTGGGCGCCAATTGAAACGAATAAAACGTGTGACTTGACAAAGTTCAGAAGAACTGAAAGAGAAGGAAGGAAAATATTAAAAATATGGCTAAGCTCAGAGGAACAAAGTTAAACGGCCAAAGAGACACTAAATCTCAAGTGAGTGTTCGGGCTAGCTTCGATGCACTGGATTGCGGCTTTAAAGATACAACAGATAACAAGGATAATGAGCTAATGAGACAAGAAACGAAATGAGACCTGACAATGTCAAACGTGATATAACTAAAGAAGGTCACTGGGAATAAATTTATAGAAAGAGAACACTAAGAAGAGAAAAGAAGGGCGCCAACTCAACGATAGTTGAGATTTTGAAGTAACAAATAAATCTGGAGATAGTAATCTGAAATACAAAAAAAAACTAAATAATAATCTTGTTTTGCTATGTTATATACTGGTTAGTAGAACTGAAATAAAACTCAAAATAGTAACAACAAATATATTTATAAAAAGAATGTATATAGATACATGTGTATAACCAATTTACATATAATGCAAAGCTAAATATACAGTGGTAGTGGGTATAAAGATAAAATGGGACCTAATAGCCCCTCCACAAGCAAATAGTCACTACCACTGGCCAAATAAAAGGTAAATATTAGTATCAACAAGAATAGTCCGTTAGGGTAGCCGAAGTCTTAACACTAAGGTTAGTAATCTAAATTTAAATAGTTCTACTAAACTGATAAACTAATCAACGTATTGTACAGGTATCAACAGTGATAACTCTGTTACAATTATCTTAAAAGTGAGTTTTCAATACTCCTTATCTATTTATTTTAAAGTCCACATAAAATTTATTTCCCTCCCCAAAATATTTTAATATTATTACATCAAAGTATGTATTGTATTATAACATGAAATCCAAGAAAATGAGTTATGGTCAAACTCACTAAATTCTTTAGTTAACCTAATAACCTATAAAAGGTATTTTCCCTCATCCCCAATATTTTAGAATTAGATTATGTCAAAAAAATGTATTTTATCAAAATTGTAATCTCCTAGTCATATTTAAAAAGTGTACACGATTTAAATAGAAAGTAACACAAAAACCAAATAGTTAAAACAACTTATCTTGGCAACAATAAGTCCCTAGGAAAACTCCTCTGGGCAAAACAAAACTAATTCATGGTTGTAAGATAAGTCCTGGGCACAAAACCAGTCACTGGTCTCTGGGTGACAGCAACATCCACAATCCACGGCAACTATTTAAAGAAGTGAATAACTAACATCCTTGAGGGAATATTTTCAAGTTAATATTCTTAGATGAATATTTTTAAGTGATAAATATTTTCAGTGACGGAATCTAAAAGGATTAATTAATTTAATAAATGTAATTCAATAGCTGTAGCAGCATGGATTCACTTTACCAAAACAAAACATCAAACATCAGGTTAGATATATTTGTCATGTCAAAATTCCCGAAGTTATTTCCCAGCATGATAGGAAATGAACATGCGCAGAATATAATAGCTGTCCAATAATTGTAGGACCTATTATATTCCACCAAAAAAAGTTAGATAAAAATTGAACCAAAAAACTTAATGATAACGACGTGGAATTTAAGTTTGACTATATAAAAAATGACCTTCTGTTCTTTGCAAGTAAATCAAGGAAATTTTATAGTTAAATTATTTCGGAACTCAAAAATAAGTCTCTAAAGAAATATTAAACTGCAAGGATAGATTTTATTGTATAATAAAAGATAATACGTATAAAATAATGTACTTACTGGAACTTGCAACACGCCAAAAAAAAATATCCTTATTATGTGGAACTCTTACATTAGAAAATCTTGATTTTTAAAATTTACTTCTTATTATTAGTATTACTGAGATATTATTAACGAATTAGATATTATTTTATTCGTCCCAGATTATTTTTCTGTTCCAATTCCGTCACTTTAAATTAGCTGACGTGCTGCGTGAGTTTCTTGACCAAACTGCCGGTTGGCTTCGGCACAAACTCCTTCCAGCCTTCCAAAAAGCGAAACCTGCGCGTATAGGTGGTTTGAATCGACCGCTGGCGGGTCATAAGAAATTTCGTGAGGGGTTTCTATTAATACAATTTTAAATTGTATTATTGGTAATTAGTAGCGTAAACGCTACACAGCGTTGAAGTTGTTTAACAAGCCCCTTTCCTTTGGGCTTTCTCTAGCATTCGTCTATATTTCTTGATGTTAAGCACTTGCTGCCATACCGGTGCCGCGTAAAATATAGTAGAGTGGACCACTTCTATTAGAATTCTCCTTTTGGCGGTCCCCGGACCCCCCACATTGGACATAATCCTTGTCAGCGCCGCAGTCCTCACCTCTGCCTTGCTAACGACATATTTCACGTGTCAAAAGTTCGCCTCGTATCTAGGACTACTCCCAAGTACTTCACTTTTTTGGCAGGTATGATCCTTTCTCCCTCCAAGACAAAAACTATATGGTCTCTGGTCCTCGGACCCTTGAGAATCATAGCTTTAGTTTTCTCGGCCGCTAGCATGAGATCTCTGCTTTTCATCCACGTCTTCACTTTGCTGAGGGCTCGATTCCCTCTCTGTATGATTGACCAGTTTTCATTGTGTTCCACCAGCACCACCAGATCATCCGCATATGCTATTGCCTGTACGACGGTGCCCAGGTCGGTCTCCAAAATCTCGTTGTACAGAACATTCCAAAGCACTGGCCCCAGTACGGAACCTTGCGTCACTCCTGCCGTAGTTCTCATAGAGTTAGCTCTCGCAATGTTGAAGCATCTATCTGTAAAGTAGTTTCTAACCAAATTCTGCAAATAAGAAGATATCCCCAAGTCTCCCAGTAGTCTGACGATAATTTTCCAGCTAGCGCTATTAAAAGCATTTCTTATATCAAGAAAGAAAGCCACCGTCCATCTGCTCCTACATATGGATATGTTCCTTTCCTGAACCCATACTGCCGGTGGGATATGCCACCCTTCTCCATTATTTCCCTCTCTAGCCTTGTCTTCACAAGAATTTCAAAGACTTTGCCTAAGGTATTTAACAGGCATATAGGTCTGTACGACCCAGGCTCCTCTAATTCCTTTCCTGGTTTAGGGATAAGTATGAGATTTGCCGTTTTCAGATCTCCTGGGAACTCTTGTCTTCTTAGCAGGTTGTGCATAATATCCTGTGCTCATTGCACTTTATCCTCAATGATGGTTTTTATTATCTCGGGTAATCTCCCGAGATAATTATTCTTAACTCTAGGTTAAATATATATGTATGCAAATCCATCTAAGAATTTTCTAATCGTTTCTGGAGAAATTAGTACTACATCTTCTGTAATTCTGTCTTTTACTTCTTCGATAGTCTGTGGCCTATTTACATACACTTTGCTTTTTAAATAATCCCATAAAAAAATCTATGGGTGTCAAATGCGGGGATCTAGATGGCCATTTGACAGCTCTTTTTCTTCTAATCCAACAAATAAAAATATATTGTCGAGAAGCTTACAAATGCCTCGAAGATAATGAGGTGGTGCTGCATTTATTGTGGCTTGCATAAACTTTTCTAGTAAAGTGCTACTTTAAAATACAAACCCGGATACTTTGCTGTTAATTATTAAAAATTATACAGATATAATATTGGAATAACGGTGCACTAAATAAAAAATGAACAAAAATAAAGGATACATACGTTCTCGAAGAGGGGTTGTAATGATTTTATTATTTTCAGAATACTAAAGATCCAAGTAAAAAAAGTTTAAAAGTCCTTCACCTAACAGATGCACATATTTCGTTGGACTATGAACATAACGGAGCAGTTGAATGTGGCTATCTGCTTTGTTGTAAGAAAGGACTGGGCAATGTAACAAAAGGAAAAAATGCTGGCTATTGGGGAGAATATGATTGTGACATTCCTCCTTGGCTTTATGAGAGTACTCTACAACATATAAGCAATACTCATAAGGTAACGAAATTGTGCATTATTTTTATTGTGATTCTTTTGATGTTGTATATCTTAAGGACTTGGACTACATTTATTTTACTGGAGACGTTGTTGATCATACAATCTGGAACACGACAATTGAATCAAATACAAAGGTGATTACCTATGCTTTTAGAGCTTTACAAGAAAAATTTCCTACGACTCCGGTGTTTGCTGTAATTGGAAATCACGAATCGCATCCAGCTAATGTGTAAGTACCTTAATATGCTACATCTCTTTTAAGCTTAAGTAAGTATTCAGTTTTCTTCCTTGCTCCTTGCTTATTTTCAATTCTTCATTATTTTTTAATGACTACCAGGTAGTTTGCAGTTTTACAAACTTCACATACTTTTTATTTGCATCTCTTATAGTAGAAAGGGCCTCACTTCACCCCACTTAAACTTTTGATCCTATTTTTTGGTGGACACGTGTATTATGTCACATTAGGTGTACGTCAGATGACATTAGGTGTGAGTCAGGTCACATTAGGTATACGTCAGGTCACGTCAGGTGTACGGCGAGTAACATTTTATGTCGAATTACGTGACATTTAACATTGCACGTAACCTGATGTACCCCTAACGAAAACTAGCGTGTACCTGACGTGATCTGACTTACACCTAACGTCATCTGACGCACACCTAACGTGATCTGACGTATACCAACGTGATATAATATTCGCCTCCACCAAAAAATGAGATCAAAGGTCAAAGTGGGGTGAAGTGAAGCCCTTTTGAACTCGTTCAACGATTGTTTCACATTTGCACTGCACAAATTTTGGTTATTGTTTCAGATATGCTCCTCATAAAGAAGACATATTAGCCAAAGGTCTATCCACTAGCTGGCTGTATGATCTAATGGCGAAACTGTGGAGTCCATGGTTACCTGAGAACGCATTAAACACAGTTCGACTGCAAGGTTACTATGCTTATTCGGTCAGTGATAGGTTTAAAATCATTGTATTAAACAATAATGTATGTTTTAGTTTTAACTGGTAAGTAATTATTCAGTGATACGTTATTTCAAATTTAGTTTACAGTGATACAAAGCTTTAAATAAGTACCAAAAAAATAGAATCCTTGAAAATTTAATAAATTACAAAAAATTTAAAGCCAAAGCCAAACACGTAGTTAAAAAAAGTAAAAAATCATCCTGTCAAGATTACGTGTCATCAATTATCGAAAACTCTAATGCTAGCAAACTTTGAAAAAAATACGACAAATTCAAGGTCACAAAACTCTTCTTCTTCTTCCTACTTTATAAATAGACTTAATGCCTGTTTTACTTCGGTTTTTAGCCTCAACTGACGTTGTCTGATCATCTTTTCCTCGGTCGATCCCAATGATCTTCTTTCATTTGGCGATTTGTCTCTTGTTATTCGTACTATTCTATTTTCTGTCATTCTTTCGATGTATTGATTTCATTCCACTTTTATTTTTGGGTCCAAGCGTTTATTTCCTCTATACCACATCTCGCTCGTATTTCCTCACTTCTCACTCTGTCTCTTAGAGTTTGGTTTGTTATTTTTCGTAAGACTTTCATTTCTGTTGCTTCCAGCACTCCCTGTGTTTTTGTGTCACAAAACTAATAATCAAATTACTCATTTAATTTCATATCGTATAGAGATAACTTCACATGAACTTTTGCCAAATATTTCGAAAATAAATTCAGGAATAAAACTAATAATATTACTTTATCTCATCACGATTTATATTCATACAGAAATCATCTGATATCATCTGAATATAGTAGATCCGATAATTCTCCTTTCACTATCCACGAGGTAATATGTGCCTTAGCTAATAGTAGAAACATCGCAACTGGGCCTGATGATATTCCTTATGCTTTCCTAAAGCATTTGTCTAATTATGATCTTAATAAACTTCATAATTTATACAATATAATCTGGAGTTCCCATAAATTTCTATCTCAGTGGAGAAGATCTATTGTTATACCAATTCTCAAGCCTAATCAGCCAATTGTCTTTTCACAATCTTACAGGCCCATCTCCCTCACATGCACTATGTGTAAGCTAATGGAAATAATGATCAACAAACGTCTTTTATGGTATTTTGAAAAACACAAGATTATTGCAAAGGAACAATCCAACTAAAAAAGACAGCACTCCACAAGAGATAATCTGGTACTACTCCAAACCAATTAATTACAAGCAAGATTTGATAGCAACTATCTTTGATATAGAAGGCGCATTTGATACCATCTCTAGAAACACAATTCTTGACAACCTTTCTGAATGTAACCTTACTGGCAACATATACACATTTATTAAAAACTTCCTAACATCTAAATCGTTCAGGTTTTCAATAATGTTCTTTCTTTTCCACACATCCAACATGATGGAGTTCCTCAAGGTTCAGTGTTAAGAACATCTTTATTCATTCTTTCCACTAAACAAGTTAAGTAAAAATATATCAAATGCGTATTATATGCCGATGACCTAATAATGTCATGTACTATCATGGTAAGTTCAACGCAACTACTAGTAAAATTTTACAATAAGGAGTAAATGCACTATAAAACAAAGTAGCTTCTCTAGGACTTACCCTTTCCCAGTCTTAATCCAAAGTTATTAAATTTCGCAGAAGAATAAGTTTTTTTAATCCTGAAATTACTATGAACAACTTCAAATCACCGGTTGTTGATAATTGCAAAATATTGGGGCTGATAGTTGATTCAAGATTAACCTGGAAACAACACATACAGGAACTTAAAGGAGTTTGCCTAAAAAGGTTAAATATAATCAAAACACTTTCACATTATCAAAATTCACTAAATAGAGTACAAAACACGGCTATTCGTCTATGTCTTGGAACACTCCGTTCTAGTCTAGCAAAAATTTTTTACTGTGAAGCTAATGGTCCTCCTGTATGACCTAGGCGAGAAAACCTTTTTCTCTCCTATGATGCTATAATTTCTTCCAATCCATACAATCCAATATATCATTTAATTACATTATCACACCAACCCCATAAAAACACTCCATGTAACTTAATTATACATCCTATGTCTAGTCTTCTACAGTCGTTACTGAAAGATGTAAATTTGTCTGAAACCAGAACTCTACCATTATTCAATAATTCCTATTGGAACATCTCTGGACTCCCACATCATGATATTTCCCTTACCAAATTTAACAAGGAAGATACCAGTATTAGTACATTAAGAATTCTCTTTCTAGAACTTATAAACACAAATAAATATAACATAGTATTTTACACTGATGCTTCAAAGACTGAAAGTGGTGTTGGATATTATGTAACCACTGTACAACAACTATATCCCCACTGGTGAACTACTAGCTATCGCAGATGCTTTCAAATATGCCCAACAATATCCAAATACACACATAGCCATATGCTTTGATTCACTTCCTGTATACACTCCGTTAATGCTATATCCACCAACCATCCTATCGTCCAAGATATTCATGACACATATCAGCTTCTTATTAACCAAAATACAACTGTCACTCTAATATGGGTACCATCCCATGTCGGTATTAGTGGTAACGAAAAAGCTGATTGCCCGGAAAATTTAACATGTTAATTTCCCCAAAAAAGACCAAATGCATGGTTACAACAGCAAATTTACTAAGATGTAAATTAGAGCTGGAAGGTTAATAATACAACAAGTGATGGAGTTTAAATATCTAGACAACACAATATCTAGCTACGAAAAGCTTGAAACTGAAGTGGAAGATCAGATCCTTGTGGTAAAGACGACAAGAGGTGGTTCCACTATAGGAGGACCACGAAACGATGGAAAACTTACTAGAGGCACATTGAAAAATAGACATAGTTATGTCTATATAAAAAAAGAAAAAAAAAGAAAATCCAGTAGGGTAAGATTTCCAGACATTCCAGAGAGATCAGGCAATAAGATGAGTAAGGATTCATTCTGCTGTAATAGTCTTGTACCTTAGCACTGTTCAGAACCAAATCTGGTTAGGATTAGAACCATCTCTCAGTTGGCGTCTGTCCAATTGTCTTTTCCGCTCAACAATTTGTCTTATTCTTTTTCCGTCTGTAAATAAACATCAATCTGGTTTAACATAAGATTATTCAGAGAAGACGTAAGCTATTTTCAGTAAAGAACCTTAATATATGTTCGGCTAAACTTCTCTATTTTCTAGTTAAATTAATCCTAGTTATTATCTGTTTTAAAGAAATTGATTTTAACATAAATAAATAACATTTGGGAATCGCCGTCCATAGATATTGCTTTCTTCTTACACGTTATTCACCTTGTATCATTTATATTACTAGATTTTGTTTGTTTTAGGTTTTTATTATTAGACACAGAATATATAAAAGAGCAACTACAATTTCTGATCCGAGAATTAGAAGAATCAGAGCAAAAGAGGCAATTCGTTCACATTCTTGCTCATATATCGGTCGGTAATAAAGAATGTATAGAGCCATGGGAGGTTAGCTACAATAAAATAGTCCAAAGGTAGTATATATTACATTCTTCTTGTTTTTTCATTATGTTAATACGGATTAAACGTTGAAATATTTCTTAAGAGTTTGGCTGTCTATTATCCATTTCAGTGGCCGTTAAGTGGTATTTCTGCTACCTCAACTCAGAGTAACTGTATCTCCATTCTTCCTACCTAAATATACTACTGATGTCATATAATTCTTCTTTATACTACTATATTTCACTCCTCACATTGAGTGCTTATGTCTGTGGTATTATCCCTAAAATATTATAATTCATATAAAGAATAAGTTGAAAAGAAAAAGTGTAACATCGTTTCGCATTTTGTTTATATAAAATATGTTTAATAATTTTAATCGAGGACATTCATAAATATACTGGAATTAGAATTTGTAAGTCAGTATTATTGCCAATCAAGACATACGGTTGTCGTAGGTCGTTAAACAAACTTGACACACTAAGAAATAAACTGCTGAATAAGCAAGATCTATTATAAAAGAGACAACGATTATTATCCCAGAGATCAGAACTAATTTAACGTCAATTACGGCGTTACGGCGTTATTTACCATAAGTTTTTATTTCTTATCTTCTTCTTTTAATGGCGCTACATTCCTTTGTGAGTCTTGGCCTGCTTAACAATGTTCATCCATTCCGCCCTGTCGGACACTTTCCTTCGCCACTGCCTGATGTTCATGGTTTTAAGATCCCTCTCTACATCGTCTATTCATATTTTACAGGGCCTTCCTCTTGTTCTGTTTCCTTGGGGCTTCCGTCTATGGATTACTTTTACAGCTCGATTATCTGGCATTCTTTCTAGATGACCAAGTCAGTTTAGTCATTGTGACTTTACAAATCTAACAATATTTGCGCTCTGCATTAGTTCATCCGATAGCTGAACAACAGACAGCATGAGATATTAATAATTCTTATATAGTATTTAAAATTTTAGTCCACTCCATAAGATTTTATTTAACTTTTAAAATTGTACCTTAAAATCTTCAACGACAATAATCATATTGTAATTGTGTATTTACATGATCAAATGGCGCTAAACGAAAACAATCGCTGTCTTTCTTTGTATATAAAATAATATCTTAAAATAGTACCTGAACCAAACGATCAGCATATGCGAAGGAAAGTCGATGATTAGAAGAAAATTAAATTTTACTGGCAAAAGCTGTAACAGAGATCATCCCTGTGGAGGGTTTTAACTAGGCTAAAAATGGGTTTAATTTAAATTAAAAGACAGAACATCCCTTGGGTTAATGTTTACACTACCCAAAATTGTACCCAACGGCTGGACTTCTTTTTTCTCGGTTTATTGTATGTGACAGTACTTTCAAGTGTTGCTTAAATTTGACATATCTTCTGTATTTTTATAAGGTTTTCTATTTTGTTTTTATTTTTAGATATGCTCATATTATAAAAGGACAGTTTGTTGGTCACACTCACACTGACGAACTTAAAATTTTCTATGACAAAGAAAAGAATCCTATTAATGTAGTTTACAATGGAGCAAGTTTAACGCCGTTTGTGCAATATAATCCAAATTACAAAATAATGCACGTTGATCCGGATACATTAGTAAGTTGAGTACAGGGTGATCCGCCGGATCCTTGCACACCGAAATCTTTCTATTTTGTTCGTCATATATATTTTTTTTTTTTCGAAGATCAAGGACATCTTCAAATATATTATAATTTAATTAATTGATTGTAATTATCTTTACCACGATACTAACATATGTTAACGTCAAAAAAATTGCCGGAACAAATTGGAAGAATTTTCCTCAGAATAGAGATGGTTGAAAGAGTTTGGAAAGGCCTATATCTAAAAATGGTATGGATGATACAAGGCTAAGAAAAAGAAAACATGTGTATTATTCATATATGAACGAAGTCACATATATCATTGGAGATTTTAACGCAAACATTGGCCAAGGCCGAAGATCTTACCTGGTAGGTGAATATGGACTAGGGGAGAGCAATGAAAGAGGCGATAGATTATCCCAGTTCTGTCAAGAACATGACATGATAATCGCAAATACATGGTTAAAATTACACAAAAGAAGGTTATACACATGAAGGGGACCAGGAGATAATTCACTACATATGATTAGAAATCAGATAGACTATATTATGGTAAACAAGAGATTTAAGAACCGGATTTAACTCACCAGAGTAACGACATATCCTGGTGCAGATATCGGTTCAGAACATAACCCTGTAATAACTGACATCAAAGTGAAGCTCAAAAAAGTCCAAGAAAGGCCCAAAACACCAAAATTAAATATCTTAATATCCAACAAAACGTTAATAGAAAATGACTTAAACAATGAGCTAAAGAAACCAATAAATGAAAACAACACAGAAATATGGAACACATTAAAAATCTTACCTTGAAAGTAATAGAAAAATATTCAACAACGTTACACAGGCACAAAAAACAACAATGGATGACTAATGAAATCCTGGAATTAATGGAGCAGAGAAGGAAACTGAAAGGTAACAAGACAGAATATAAGGAAAAACAGAAACTAATTAAACAAAAAATAAAGGCAGCTAAAGAAAAATGGATGGAGGATAAATGCAAGGAAGTAGAAAAGTTGAATGAAAAACATGATACGTTTAATATGTTTAAAAAATGATAATAGACGAACATGAAATTCGAACAACCTGGTGTAATTATATAAGTGAACTGTATAATGATGATAGACCCGAAGAACTGGAGACTTTAGTTGAAGGTGAAGGACCAGAAATACTAAAATCAGAAATACTACAGGCTATAAAGTTAGCAAAGAACAAGAAAGTCGTTGGCCCTGATAACATACCGACAGAGATGTTAAAGCTTATAAATGAGGAGAATATTGGAATACTGCTCAAGCTTTTCAATGATGTTTATTCGATTCGTGATATACCTGAAGATTGGTGAAAGTCCGAATTCATAACACTACCAAAAAAACAACGTCCGAAAAACTGTAGCGATTATAGAATGAGAAGCCTTATGAGCCACACTTTAAAAATATTTCTACGCATCATCCACTGTAGAATCAGAGATAAATGTGAAGAAGACCAGGATGAAACACATTTTGGCTTCAGAAATGGACTGGGAACTCGGGACGCCCTCTTTGCACTAAATGTATTACTGCAGAAATGTTGAGATCAAAGGAAAGACATCTTTGCTGTATTTATTGACTATGAAAAGGCCTTTGATTGAGTACAGCATCACAAATTAATTACAATATTAAAAGATAAAGGAGTTGATAGTCAAGACATACAATTCATAGAAAAGATATACTGTCCACTATATTGTATACTAGTATACTAATTACAGTACATTGTATACTAATAACAGTGTGAATAGTATACAATATGTATACTATCCACACTGTTATTTAATTTATATTCAGATAGAATATTTAAAGAAGCGCTGCATAATTTGGAATGGGGCGTGAAAGTTACAGTTATTTTAAGTGATGACATGAATGGACTACAATGCCTTTTAAATGCCATTGATACAGTGGGAAGAGAGTTTGGCCTAAACATAAACTGTTCAAAAACAAAACACATGGTGTTTAGCCGTTTAGCACATCAAGATGCACGATTATATGTTGATGGTCATATAATTCAAAGAGTGTCCAGTTTTAAATATCTTGGTTGCCATATTACTGAACAACTATATCCAGATCAAGAGATAAAATGTAGAATCGAGATAGCCCGCACGACATTTTTAAAAATGAGGTCATTCTTCTGTAATGATAACTTGCAACTTTAACTTCGAAAGCGCATTTTTAAATGCTACATTTGGTCAGTCCTCTTATATGGTGTCGAAGCATGAACATTAAAAATATCCACCATTAGTCGTGACTGCACAGACGTATACTTAAAATTCCACGGACGGCAATGCTGACAAATGTGGCAGTCCTTGAGAGAGCAAATGCTGCTCGCGAGCTGCTTGATAACATCAAATGTAGAAAGATGGCCTATTTTGGACACGTAGTAAGGGGAGACCGATATAATATTCTTCAACTTATTATGATGGGTAAAATCGAAGGACGCAGAGGAATTGGTAGAAAGCAGGCCTCTTGGTTGAAGAATATCAGGGAGTGGATAGGAATAAGGAAAGCTGAGCAACTCTTTAGAGTAGCTCGAGACAGAGACAGTTTCGCCATGTTAATCGCCAACGTCAAGAGGACTTGATAGGGCACGTTAAGAAGAAGATAATTCATATTTATTAACCCCAGACCGATAAAAAAAAATAAAAAAAGTTATTGTATTTGTGAAATATAAAAAATAATAACATTAAATAGAAAAATTATATATAAAAAATATATATTTTGATTCTTTTTAGGATATTCTTGATATAGACACGTATTATTTCAATTTGACCGAAGCTAATCTCTATCCAGATAGGAGTCCAGCATGGAAAAAATTATATTCCATGAAAGAAGCCTACGATCTACCAGATCTATCGCCGGAAAGTTTTGATGTATTTGCCGATAAATTGTTTAACGATACAGCTCTTATGAATTTATACTATCGGTAAGTTTATTTATATTTAAATACTGAATTGGTATCACTACAGAATCATCATCATCATCATAAGTGGCTCGACAATCCGTTGAGAATCTTGGCCTGCTCACAAAGAAGTCGCCACTCCTGTCGATTTATGACAACTTCCTTCCATCTTCTAACCTTTAGAATCTGTAAGTCTTCTTCAACATCATCAATCCAACTCATTCGTGGTGGTTCTTTACTTCTTGTGCCCTCTGGTTTTAAAAATGTTAAGCTCTTCGTCAGCGTCTGACCCAGAGTGAGCGGCTGCAAACAGCGTCTGTTCCCAGAGTGGGCGGCTGAAACACACTTACCAACCCGTCTGGCCAGCGTGGTGAGTTCACGGCCAATCTACCCCCCCCTTTTATGACAGATATACGTAAGAATTGGGCCTCAGTCCCCAGCAGCTCCGGAGTCACCTTCCAAGGCAATGGTAGGATCGAGGAAAGAGCAGAAGGTGCTAAGAATCCCTGGGTTTTAGAAGATTGACAGAAACAACGAAAACAAGCAACGAAACTGGATATTGCAACTTATAATGTTAGATCACTGATGAGAGACAAAAAGCTAGCCGAACTGGAAGAAGAAGTAAAAAAGATGAAATGGGATATATTAGGATTACGTGAGATAAACAGAAAAGGGGAAGCCTGTATGAAGTTGGAATCCGGGAACGTACTATACTATAAAGGAACTGAAGAAGAATCATTAGCTGGTGTCGGTTTGTTTATTTCTAATCAGCATGTTTATAAAATTAGACAATATATTGGAATTTCAGAAAGGATCGCGGCTCTAATAATGGACATAAATAAAAATATAAGCTTAAAGATCATACAAATTTACGCCCCTACAAAGCACCTACACAATCATTATAGGCGACTTCAATGCCAAATTAGGGAGAAAACTAGAAGAATCAGAAAATAAAATCGGCAACTTTGGATATGGAACACGAAACGAAAGAGGAGAAACACTGATGAACTATATGAAAACGAATGGTCTATATGCGATGAATACCTTTTTTAATAAAAAAACCACAGAGAAAATGGACGTGGGTTGTGCCCAATGGTTTAACAAAAAATGAGATTGATTACATCCTATCCAAAGAAAAGAGCATAGTACAAGACGTTACGGTCATAAACATGATTTCCGTATGAAGTGATCACAGAATTGTTAGAGCCAAAATCAAAATTAACGCCACAACAGACAGACAAAAATTTAAACCATCTAAAAAAAAGATAGATACAGACCTTCTTAAAGAACGCAAAGAACAATACATAAACCAGCTAAAGAGAAGTGACATATCACAGCTAAAGGGTTTGCAACTAAACGAATTAAACGATAAAATAACAACAGAACTACTAGAAGCAGGCCTGAAGATTGCTAATAAACAAAGGCGAAAACAACAAAAAATTATCGCTAAATCACAAGATATGCTAAAAAAACGACGACAACTCCTGAATGATAACAAAAGAAATACAGTGGAGTTTACCGAACTGAACAAAACCATAAGAAAACAGATTAAGGAAGATTTAAAGAAATACCAAGAAGATCGCATTAAGAAAATCATAGAGAAGAACAAAAGTTTAAAAACAATAAATACAAATATAGAAAAAAGAAAACTAATCATGCTTAAATCTGAGAACAATGAAGAAAGAGATCTAGGAGAAATAGTTAAAATCACAGAAAGATATTACGCAGACCTATCCAGTTCAAAAAATGACCTACCACTATCATCTAAACAGAATCTCTCGAGGAAAATACAACATTTTGGCTCAGAGGTATTACCAGAAATAACTGAAGATGAAATTGAAAAATCCATAAATGACATGAAAAGAAATAAAGCAGCCGGTGAGGACAAAATACTGGCGGAACTGCTAAAAGAAGGAGGAGACACAATAAAAAAAATGCTAAAAATACTGTTCAACAAATGTCTGTTTGAAGGTAAAATACCTAAACGATGGAGAAAGCCAACACAATCTTGCCAAACCTAAACAGCTACCGCCCTATTTCCCTTTTGTCACAACTATATAAAACCTTCACAAGAATAATAAACAACCGACTAACCTATAAACTTGATAACTACCAACCAGTGGAACAGGCCGGATTCAGGAAAGGATACAGCACAATCGACCATCTAAATGCGCTTAAAATCTTAATTGAGAAAACCAATGAATACAACCTTCCGCTGTGCTTAGCATTCGTAGATTACGAAAAGGCTTTCGACAGCATTGAATACTGGGCGGTTGAAGAATCTCTGGTCAATAGTAGAATTGATTCAAGATACCGACAATTGATACATGATATTTACCAAAACGCAACCATGACCGTAATTCTGGACGACAAATTAATAACGGATAATATAAAAGTTAAACGAGGTGTCCGACAAGGCGATATAATTTCACCTAAACTGTTTACCTTGACCCTCGAAGACATAATAAAATCAACAGATTGGGAAAACAGAGGAATATGTATTAACGGAAAATACCTAAATCACCTTAGATATGCGGATGATATACTCCTGATCTCCTCGGAACGACAAGAACTGGAATTAATGCTGAATGAACTTCATGAAAAATCACTGCAAAAAGGCCTAAAAATTAACTTCAATAAAACAAAAGTAATGACAAACACGGAAGACCAAGAGGCAATAAAAATACAAACAGAAAAAATAGAACAGTTAAATGAGTATATTTATCTAGGACAAGCAATCACAGCTAACAGAGAAAATCAAACAGCCGAAATATCGAGACGAGTAAAAATGGGATGGGCAGCGTTCGGCAAACTTTCTTACGTTCTAAAAAATCAAACAATCCCTCTATACTTACGAAGCAAGGTATATAACTCCTGTATAATACCGGTGCTCACCTACGAAGCACAGACATGGACATTTACACAGGCCAATTTGGATAGGATAAGGAAGGCACAAAGAGCGATGGAAAGACAAATGTTGGGTATATCACTTAATAATAGAAAACGTAATCAGTGGATCAGAACCAGAACAAAGACAGTAGACGCGATAGAACAAGCAGCAAAACTGAAATGGAAATGGGCTGGACACAATGAACGTCTCCAAGACGGACGATGGAACAAATCCATCGGAAAGTGGCGTCCATACAATGCAAAGAGATCAAGAGACAGATGTCAGAACTAAATAAACACTGTAACATAAAAAACTCATTGTGCCCAAGATGTAGTGCATAAAAGTCCTTCCCCTTTTAAATTTAATGTTTGTTTTGTCCCTTCTACGTGTTTTCTGTTTTAGTGTGTTTAAATTGTCCTTAATTGTTTTAATTCTAATATTTTATTTACTCGACTTTGCAATAATCTACTACTTTGCCAATAGAACTTTATCAAAGAAATTTGATAATTACAAGTTGAAAAATAATTGCACACCCACACAATTTATACATCTAAACTTATTCATTGTCATACAACTGTCACCTTCATAAAACAATTACTTAATAAATAACACACATTTCATAAATATATCTCTCGAATAAGTATAAATAACTTTTAAATAATACAATGGTATATAACATCACTTTCATTTAACAAACAATCTCTGCTTCATTGGATCAAATCTATCTCCTCAAGAACTTCCCGTTTACTGTCAAACAACTACAATAGCAGAATTAAGTTCTCCATTCAACAATACATAATAGTTTCAATCATGTTCTACCATCCATCAATTAATAGAGTACCGGCATCATTTATTTAACTTTGTATCGAGACCTGAAGATGCTTTGCATATTGTAGAAAGCGAAACCGGTCGTCTGTTAGTTAAATTAAATTGATTGTGAGTAAGTCTTATTTATTATTTCTTTACCTATTTGAAATGGACTCACATAAGCAACACATTCATGATTTTAATTTAATTTTGTTTATAATTAATTTAAAAAACTTTAATAAAACATTTTATTCTAAGTTTTGTTTGTTTTTTCAGGAATTATGTCAGCCTTGGTGATGCATCTCTGAAAGAAGGCTGTGATAGCAAGTGTCTTCATAACATACGTTGCAAAGTTGTTACTACAAGTTCTCTACATCCACAAAAAAAGCAGTGTTTAGACTAATAACGTTTTTTAAATATTGTTTAAGTTTAAAAAAGTATTTATTGTTGAAAATTAAAGAAATAAAATTTATTATTAACCTTTCAGTAGGCCCTGTTTAATTTTGTGTATCAGTAGTCATGCATTTTGTTTAAATACGTCAGAAGAAAGCAGTGAATCTAAAAATGTTGATAAAAGAAGCCAAAAGATGAGGAACTGAATGAAATACCAAAAAAGGCGCCGCAGAAAGGCCAATAAAAAGGATTTGAAAGGATCAATTGTAAAAGAGTTAAGGATTAGTGGTACAAAATACTTTAATCGCTACGGAAAGGAAATTACAGAAATAAGTCATCTTCCAACAGGTTGCTCTAAGTACAGGTTTAAATGTCAAAAACTATTTTCTGAAGAGCAAAGGGCCCAACTGTGTGCAGATTACTACAGCTTAGCAGACTATACCAGCCGAAAACGCTGTTGAGTTATTTGATAAAAATAGTGAATGTATCTAGAAGCACACAAACTCCCATAACAAAAAATCGAGAAGAGTCAAAGTTATATCATTTAATAGATAATTATTGGCAAAGCCATGAAGTCTGCCTCAAGTTTTTTACAGCCATTTTTGTTAGATCTTGTAAAGTCGTCGAGAAGTTGTCGGCTATGATAAGAAAGAATAGCAAACCCCACAATGCAACTGCTGAGATATCGAAATTTAAATACAACTTTTTTTGATCATGCTGTAGAAAGTGACCCAATTTTTTATTTAATGATGAATAATACTTATAATCATTTTTAATCAAATAAAGACCTTTTTTCTTCTTCGTATTTATTTAGCTTTATCTCCATATTGTTTATCATTTGCAGGAATTATTAATTGTTTTAGTATGGATAAAAGAAAAATGTCGAATATCAACAGGATTTAAGTGGTGTCAACAGTGTAACAGACTTGAATTTTACGCCTAAAATTGATGGCTACATGGATGTATTAGCGCTACATGCAAATTATACTTATCTGTAAAGCTTGTCGATATTTCTCCATTTTTTCCTATCTCTGGTTTTTCCTCTCCATTCTCTGACTGCAGCTCTTTCCAGGTCTTCCTCAACTTCTTGCAGACACTATAATCTTGGTCTTCTCCTTCTCTTTCCTTCTCCTGGATTTCATTATAGCATTGCGTATGTCACTGCTTCATCTCCTTCTCGCCAAATGTGACCTAACTATTTAACTCTGCATTGTTTTATTGTAGTCACGATGTCGTCGTTAAGTTCTTTATTAATCTCTGCATTTATTCTGCTTCCATATTCATTTATATAATTATTCTTAAATATTCTATACTTAAGTCTTCTCCATATATCTTGACCATCGTCATTGTTTCTCCTGCATATAATAATATTGGCCTAATTATGGTGTTATAAATGTTCATCTTATTTTTTTTAGTGTTTTGCTTTTAAGTAATATTTTATTTGCAAAATAAGCTTTATTCGCTGCTAATATCTTTTCTTTTATTTCGGACTTCCTTTCTCCTGTTTTGCTTATTGTAACTCCTACGTATTTGAAGTATTCTACTTCTTCAAACTCAGGACTGCCTATTTTGATTTTTTCTTTCATTGGCTTTTTCCCTAACCTTAATATGTTTGTCTTTTCTGATTTAATCCTAGTCCAATTACCTCCCCTTTCTCTTTTATTTCTTCTAGCATTTCTTTTATTATTTTCCTTTTCTTTGCAATAATAGCAATATCGTCTGCATATTCAATTATTTTGAGCACCTGTTATTCTTAGATTGCCTTTAATTATATTTCGTAGTACATATTCTAATACTTGCATACTTCCATACTTGCTTGTATTCTTGATCCTCTATTATCACTGTTTCCTCTTTATTTTTTATTTCGTTTGTTTTGCTTTCTATTTTTTATTTTGTTCTTTAATCTTAAGAGACGCGAGACAGGACAGCGAAAATTTCTGCGGGACTAAACAGATAGAAAAATAAAGAACACGGGACGGGACAAGAGCGTCCCACTGTCTTACGTCAAATCCTACTGACAACAGGACTACAAAGAAAAACTTATGTACCTGTAAACAACCCTGTATTTTTTTCTTATTAAAATTTGTTACCGTATCTAATCAAATCATTGGATCTAGTTAAAAAAACTTGTTTTAATATTAATTGAAAAACTATAAAATACTCAAAGTATTGTTCTTTCAGTTATTAATTAATATACATTTATATGGGTATAAAAACTTGTTAAAATAATAAAATATTATTATTAATGTAGTATTTATTCTTCGCACGTGTTTATTTTAGCAGTCGCGTAGGTGCGACAATTTGGCAGGGTTCATTGTTAATGGTAAAATTATTATTGTTCTACAAGTAGATTAGCAATATTAAAGTAAGTATTTAGTTTTACGTATTTTTTTAGAGAAGAACAAATTATTTAACGTTTTATCTTTACCGTATCTGTTTCTATATATTCAAAGATATTTTTAATGATATTATTTTCTTCTTCTTTTTTTAAATTTGTTCCTCAATATAAATATAGGGTCGGTTCATGATCTTTTAGACCTAAAACCTTGTTGTTCTTCTCATCATCATCATCATCATTGGCTTTTACAACTCTTCGTGAGTTTTTGCCGCGTTTACTATTGCCTTCCATTGATTCCGATCCTGTGCTATTATTTCCCATGGCCTTACTTCCATCTTCTCCAGGTCTTCCCTGACTGCGTCTTTCCACCTTTTTCTAGGCCTTCCTGTCGATCTTTTACCATCTGGTCTTTCCCAAAACACATTGCTAATCAGTCTGTCGTCATCACTCCGTACCACGTGGCCTGCCCATCTTAATCTATTAGCTTTTATGTATCTTACGATGTTTCCTTTCCCGAAGAGAGTCTCTATTTCATTGTTGCATCTGCTCCTCCATTCATTTGTCACGCTGTCCCTACAAGGACCATATATAATTCGCAGGATTTTGCGTTCCCATACTAATAGCTTATTGATTTCTTTCTTTCTCAATGTCCATGTTTCACTTCCATATGTCACTGCTGGTCGTATTATGGTTTTGTACATTTGGATTTTGGCACGCCTTGAGAGAAGCTTTGACCTCATTAGATGTTGAATGGCAAAGAATGATTTATTCCCCGCCAGTACTCGTATTTCAACCTCCCGTTCTCCTGTGTTTTCACTGGTAATTGTTGCTCCTAGGTATTTGAATCCTTTGACCACCTCAAAATTATGATCGTTTATGGTAATGTTTTGTCTTATTCGCTGTCGTTCCTTTTTTAATACGACCATGTATTTAGTTTTTTCTTCGTTTATTTTCAGGCCTACGCTTAGTGTTGCTTCTTCAAAGTTCGATACTATATCCTTAACTTCCAGTGTTGTCTGTGCTACTGCATATACATCACCTGCAAATGCGAGAATAATCTTTGCTCCTCTGGCAGTTATGTCTGGTTTGGCTCTGGTATAGATTTTTCGCATTGCGTATTCCAATGCTAGGTTAAATAGTAATGTGGACAGCGGGTCTCCCTGTCTGAGCCCGGTGCTTATGCCGAAAGCCTTTGAAGTTTTGCCTCCTATTCTAATTTGTGCAAAAGAATTGTTGACACACATTCGCGCAATCATGGTCAGCTTCTTTGGTACGCCTAACTCCATCATTGCACTCCACAGTTTTAAGCGATCTATGGAATCATATGCTTTTTTGAAATCTATGAAGATCTGGTGTACTTCTTTATTATATTCCCAATACTTTTCTAGCATTTGTCTGATAGTAAATATTTGGTCGATTGTTGATCTTCCAGGCCTAAAGCCGCATTGGTAATCGCCAATAATTTCCTCTGTATATGGCAGTAATCGTTTTAGTAAAACTGAAGCTAATATCTTATATGTAGTACCGATTAGTGAGATTCCCCTGTATTTGCTACATGTATCCTTTCTGCCTTTTCTATGTATTGGCACGATAATACAGACACTCCATTATTTTGGCATTATTTCTTGTTCCCAGGCTTCTTTCATTAATTGGTGTATTTTAGTTCTAAGTTCATGCCCTCCTTTTTTAATCAGTTCTGCATCAATATTGTCTAGTCCCGAGGATTTGTCATTTTTTAGAGTTTCTATCGCCGTGATAATTTCTTCCAGGCTTGGCGGGGGGACTTCTATCTCGGCCGTTTGGTACTCACAATTGTTCTTCTTCTGATAGTGTTAATTTTATTCAGTTTATTTGTTATCACTTTGGTTGTTAATTTTAGTGTTGTGTTTAATACTGATGATCTATTTTGCTGAACTATTTTTTAATTTCCTTAATACTTCCTTTAATTCTTTCTCCTCAATATTTATTTCTTCGTTCGTCGTCAACCTCTGGTGGTGGTGACTCATTAGCTTCACCATTAGAAAAAATAGGAATCGAAAGTAGTCTACCCATGTTTCCTTCCGACTGTGTTTCATTTTTATTAGTTCGTTTATCTCTTTTCTTTTTTCTCTGATCATTCTCCATATTTCTTTCTGTATTCCGTAGAACTCGTGATCAATCTGTTTTGAGAAGTTCTGTCAGTGTTCCCTTTTAACGCTCGAATATACAATCAAGTAATACTTGGAATTAAGCAAAAACAGGTGCAGATGACACAGTGATTGTGGCAAGCTCTGCCAAACAACCCCAACTATTGCTAAACAAAACAAACAGTTTCTGTGAAAAATATGAACTAAAAATGAATATACAAAAGACCGAATACATAATAGAAAGAAAACAAATATACCAACAAACATACATTTGGGAAATATACCGATAGAAAGGGTTGATAAATACTTATACCTAGGAACCTGGATTTCAGACAATAATGTTAAAGCAACCGAAATAAGAGCCAGTATAGAACAAGCAAGAAATGCGTTTGTAAAAATCAAAACAATTCTCTGCAACAAAGACCTTATATTAGAACTGAGAGTAAGAGCACTGAGATGCTACGTGTTTTCGATACTGCAATATGGACTTGAAAGCTGGACATTGAAGCAAGAACACATAAATAAATTACAGTCCTTTGAAATGTCGTGTTACAGGAGGATGCTTATAATAGCATGGACACAGAAGAAATCTAACATGGAAGTATTGCGAGAAATGGGCAAATAATGCGAAATAATAAACACAAGAAAAGTAAGAAAGTTACAATATCTCTGACACGTAATGAGGGGACAGCGATATGAACTGCTAAGGCTGATAATACAGGGAAAGATAAGAGGGGGAAGGAGTATAGGAAGAAGGAGAGTGTTATGGTTGAAGAATTTAAGGGACTGGTTTAAATGCAGTTCCATAGAACTCTTCAGAGCAGCAGTAGATAGAGTAAAGAAAGTGATGATGATATCCAATCTCTGATTGGGAGACAGCACTTAAAGAAGATAACGAGGATGTTAAAATCGAAAATGTCGGAGTCATATGTTACAATACCGACGAAAACCCACCCCCTTCTTCTGTCTCCGTTTCCTCCACGGAACTACCGTAAAGTACTTCACGGGTGGAGGTCTAGCTATTGCTTTTCCTTCATGTTGTTGAAGTCATTGCTTCTCTTCTTTTAATCTTCTCTATTTTCTGTTCATCTCCTTTCAATGCGGCAAAGATCCTGAAGGACTTCCGTCGCGAATGTGCTGATTACATCCCAAGCTTCATTCAGTAAAATAATTTCTCCTACCATGGTCTCTGGTCCAATTTTCTGTTTGATAACTGCTTCTAGAGTATTATCCAGTAAGTATAATCGAAACGTTCCTCTAAATATTATAAAAACTATCAAAAACATCTACCACAATAACAAAATGGAAGTCAGAATAGATGAACTTACAGACCCTATACAAATAGGCAGCGGAATAATACAATTCAATTTAATCATGGATGAAATCTGAGGGGTTTTAATGTGCAATGGATGAGCTAGCCGTTACACAATTGGCGCCCAACGTGGGGCCCGTAAATCGGGAATTATTAATAAAATAAGTTTTCAACACATATCTTTATTAATTTATAAATTATTATAATAACAAATTAAAATGTAATAACAATTAAAAATTGAGGTTCTACCAACAGCGAATTAAGCATCTATATACAAAATTCAAAGAAAGAAAGAAACTTAGCTTAACTCCCGTAAGAGATCCTGCTGTTGCTCTCTTCTCAACTCGATCCATAAATTATCTGCATCAAAACCATGCCTCTAAACCAAAACCATATGGATTTTCTTAAATCAAAACCATGTGGATTTTCTTGAATCCAAAACCATGTGGATTTTCTTAAATCTAAACCAAGGTGGCTAGAAAAACAAAAGCCGATATAAAATTTGTCGTGGCACGAGATTTGTCCAACAACAGAAGAATACTGGCAAGCGGAAAGCTCTTCTCTCTAAGACCTGCATACCGATCCAGAATTATCTGATGTTGCCAAAACTCACGAATTAACAATTGCAATTAATAGATTAATTATTAAAAGTGAAAACGAAAAAGCAAACTTGTACGATTAATGCCAGTGAGATTTATATTGAATTATTATTATTACAGCAAGTATAAGTAAAAAGAAAATAAAAATTCTAAGCAGTTTTTAAGAACTAGCGTACACAAAATTATAAGAAAATCTTACAGTGTGCATGTTCTTGATTAATGTATGAAAATATGTTGTCGTTGTAAAAAGAACAAAGTATTAAACTTACCCAGACTGTTGGAAGTTTTTGACCACGAAGACTTATTTTTAAGTACCTTGTTGGTTGCTGGTTTATTTTAAAAAGAAATTAAATCGAATCGGATTTATAGAAGTAAATTATTTAGTAGTGGGGTTTCTGTTGCTTGTATGACAAAGTAAGCGCAGGTACAACTACGAGGGGACTTAAGAAATTAATCGGTGAATTTATTTGTGGTAGGAAAATATTGAAATGAAATATAGGAATAAAAACAAAGGAAAAAGAAGTTATTATCAACGAGAATCAAATAGTATGAGCAGAAAATAATGGAAAGTACTTTGAAATTAATAAGAACAAAAATGTAACGTTTTAATCGTTACAGTATTAATCCGCAAATGAACAAGCAGAATTGCTTATAAAGAGGAAGAAGAAGAAGTTGAAACACAAGAAGAACACGTGCTCCGCATCTTCACCATCCCCGGGACAGGATAAGCACTCTCGAGAATCACCATGTTTAAAGCGATCAAAATATGCTCAAAAGCAGACATATCCTGAGAGCAACTGCGTCAGATAGTAATTGACCTCGCCATGTTTGCGGTTCAGCTAAACATTCACCTGTGGTACAAGACAATGCATCCACTTACCCGAAGTCCCACTGCAATTACCTTCGATGCATGCTGTAATTGTAGTTTGCCAATAAAGTGTCTTCCTCTCTTCAGCTAACACTCCAATGTTAGTATCCCGGCTATGATGTATATTGCGTCATTAGATACTGTTCAGAATGCGCTGGCAACTCTTAAAGGACTCAGAAGATATACTAATCAGACCTTCCTCCATGATTCCTGGATTCCAAACAGATATTCCGTATGTTTTACTTGCCCTACTTTGTTTTGGGCCACCCACATTCGGCATTAGCCGTGAGAAGGCTGCTTAATTGTTACATGTTTTATCTTTTACTAGGAATGAAATTAATCTGGAGTCGCTAAGTAATTCAAAATGTTGTATTTTATTAACTAGTTCTATTGTATTTTTTATGATAAATTTAGGTTAAAATTAAGTGTGTTCTAAAATAATGTTTCACCTAACTTTAACGTAACAAAACAATAGAACTAGTTAATAAAATACAACATTTTGAATTACCTAATAAGTCCAGATTTATTTCATTTGACGTAAAAAAGCCATCATGTCATCTATCAAAAAGCCACACTGTCTATTTTTTTGTCATTTTTTATGGATAAGATTGTCATCGCATTTTTTGTCCTTTAGTTTGTCCTTTATTTTCTTGTGGAAAAATTGTCCTCGCGTTTTTTCTCTTATGTCTTAGTTAACATGTTTCTGTCAGTCATTTCTACTTTGGCTCCACTATCTTTCTTTCTATTTGCTTGTATATTTCTAATTGATGATTGAGATTTTAAATGAAAGCATTGTTGCTAGTCTATACAGCGGAACTACTTAAATAATTTCAAATTATTGGTAAACCTTGTTTTGTAGTAATATGGATAATAGAAACACTAATAGAGGAGACATTATTTTTGTGTAAAACTTACTTTTTTAAGGTACAAGATCTCAGCCTTCATCGCCAAGCGAAGTGAAAAGATGAACTGGTGGCACATCAGTTTCTTGTCCATTGCATTTTTGGTGAGTTCGGCTTGGAGTCGCCGTGTAGAAAATACAACGCTTCATAAGTAAGTTAAATATTTATAAGTACTTTGTATGTAGCATTAATTATGGTATGTTTATTGAGATGATAGAGTTGTTGTTTAATTCCACTTGATTTTCTTTTAAGAACAAATATTATAAACAAATTTTTGGTACTCCTATGGGAGCTGATATCTCCCCAATTTTGGCTACATATGTAATAGACGATTTTTTGAGTATTGTTCTAAAGGTTATTCCTTTTAATGTTCCTTTGATTAAAAAATATGTTAATGATATTATTATGTCCTGTCCAATAGGTTTAGAGACTGAGTTCTTAGACATTTTCAATAGCTTTGACCGCTACATTCAATTTACCCTTGAATGGGTAAGAGGGGGTAATGGGTAATGGGGAAAGAGAGTCAAAACCAATCTTTTCTTGACACAACGTTGACTAGAAAACTGAATAACATCAGTATAATTGATTGGTATAGAAAAAAGTGTAACTCTAGGAAATACCTCAACCACCAGTCTTACCACAAGTCAAACATGAAAGTTAATCTAGTGAAACAAATGACCATAAGAGGTTGTAAACTAGCTGACTCTGTTAAAAAAAAAACAATCTTAACACCCTGTTATAATTGTTCCTGGGGAATTCTTACCACGAATCCTTATTCAGAAAAATCATCTTCAACACATGTCACTCCCAAATTGACCAGAATTTTTGCTTAATACTTACCCAATGTAAAAATTGCTTATAAAAGCACTCTAGTTGTGGGATCTTTGTACAACTCATTAAAAGACAAAGTATCAAACTCAGATAAAAGTGATGTTATCTACAAACTTAGTTGTTAGGCTGTGAAGATTCTTATATAGGTCACACCTCCCAAAAAGTTTCCAGCCGTTTGACTTTCCACAAGAGTGACGTTAGGTTACACCCTGATAGATGTTCCCTAGCCACACATGCTAACACAACACTCTTTCGATCTTCCAAATGTAAAAATCTCATCCACGGTCAGTAATTATTAAAAAAGATTGTTTTTCGAGATGGCATTCATTTTTTAAGAGAAAGAAACAATTAATAAAAACAAGATCCAACAAAGACCAACAATTTGAGCAACTTATACTCATTATTGGTAACTTTATATCACTACAAATCTATTAATAAAGACAAATCATTGTCAATAATATAAGATTCATTACATATGTGATATATAATATCTTTTCTACTTTATAAAATAAGTCTTTTTGCCTCTTTTTTTTTCAGAAAATGCTGAGCCTATCATGTATACTATTAACTTTACATATGTTACCATTTTAAGACTAACATTCAACGTTCTGTCGTTTTAAGTTAGTTATTATGAATTCACAACCAATTGTTTTGTTTCTAACTTAACTTAACTTAACTTAAGTATATGTATAAGAGTAGTGATAGTTCTTAAGAAATTTGAAAAATTTCAGAAAACTTAACGATTATTAAATTTCGCGCATTTGTTTCTCTTGTGATTGTTTGTCTTGTGATTGTTTCTCAAAACAATTTGAGAAATGATGGTAATTTTGATGAGTAATAATTTTTGCCAGCTTTGCCATAGTTATACAAAAAACATTACAAATAACACCACAAAACTTACTCCCCAATATATATTTAATTAACTACTCTTACCAAATGTACTTTTGTAACATTTGACATATCATTTTCTTGTTGTTTAATTTCTTGTAATGCTCCTAATTTTATAACATTTTTAAATTTTTACTTGTTCTGTCTCCTATTTTTTAATTCAAACTTATTTTCTATCTCATAACATATATAAACAATTAACATTTCTAGTAAACCTTTCATTTCAGTAAGTGATTTTTCCTCAAATTCTAAATACTGCTTTAGTTGTGCCTCTACATAAAAAAGGTGACAAATCAAAATTTGATAATTATCGAGGCCTATTTACTAACCTAACTAACTAACTTAAAAGTGTTATGCCTAACACTTTTATCTGTGTTTTCAAAAATATATGAGAAGGTATTTCCTACACGTTTCCTCCCGTATATTAACAAGCACAACATTATAGAATAGTCTCAATTTGGTTTCCGTGAAGGTATAAGTGTGCACGATACACTACTAGCGTTGTGCAATATTTTCTCGAACTTTGATAAGGCTAATAAAGTTATCTGTTTGTTTTTTGACTTAGCACCGGCTTTTGAACCTGTAAATTAATATAATATTTTCTTCAGAAGAAAGTGTCCTCTCCGGAGTTCCACAGGGAAGTATCATTGGCCCTCTTTTATTTTTGATTTTCGTCAATGATTTAAATCAACTGGTCGGTCAGATAGCCAAGCGGGCTGGGCGGCTGGTTTCTCATTCGCTTCACTGCGAGAGATGTCAGTTCGATCCCTAGCTCTGTGTACAGAAAACAAAAAGGCTAACGCAGCAGTTTAAAATTCTAAATGAATCTGCGGCATAGTCTAGAATATGCTGGTATCTGATCGGCCTATGGTGGAGCAGTAACGCAAAAGATAAGGGCTTGCGACTCGGTAATACTCCTTCATAGATCCCTACTGGAAGGGCGTGTGCTGCCTAAATACCGGGTATATATATATTTAAATCAACTGATAAACGATAGCTCAACATGTTTGGTTCGGAATCCATTAGATAATTTTTCTTATGCAATAAGGCTTTGAGTAGAAAACGTGGACGTGCACAGTTGCACCAAATTCCAATATTTTTTTTCATGTAGTACAAAAAACAAACTGTCTTGTAAAAAGTATGACTCATTACTGTTTAAATAATGCCCTAATCTTAAATGGATCAAAGACCAATACGGTAAACTTTTCACCTTCTACTATGTAGATGAGTCCATTAGTAAAGCTTGACAATGAGTCTGTGGTGAATAGCCACTCCACTAAGTTGCTAGGTGTTTACCTGGATTCTAATTTGTCTTGAAGCTCTCACGTTGATTATGTAGTGGGAAGATTGTCTGTGCACTGTTATGTTCTATGGCAACTTAGGAATTTTGTCTCCCTAGATATCTTAAAACTTTACTATTTCGCTTATGTACAGTCAATTTTGCAATATTGCTTAGTTTGTTAGGGAAATTGTTCGCGAATTAATGAGGTGCTTATTCTTAAAAAAAATTATTCGTACCATGACGTTTAGAAGGCGCTGGGATTCCTGTAGACCAGTTTTTAAACAATTGAATATTTTAACTGTAATTTCACTGTATATTTTCAGTTGTGTTGTTTATGTAAAGTCACATAGATGCAATTTTATTTGCAGACATGATGTTTCCTTAATGAGTGGCTACAATTTTCGTTACAGAAATGATTCGGTGACCCCTGTTCCTCACTTCACCGTTGTGGGCAAGGGTCCTTACCCAACATGCGTTAGTTTGTATAATAAATTACCTAATTATATTAAAGAGTCAAATATTTATGTTATTTGATATGAAGTTGAATGCTCGAATAAATGAACTTTGAAAAACTTATTTAATAATCAAATCTTGACCAAGTACTTTCGCTTTCTACAGCATCATCAGGGATATTTCGTCAAATTGGGGCTATCCTGCAAGCGTAGAATGTAATAAACATGAGATTGAACATAAATTGTACATAACACTACATGGACACTACACGTACATGTACTACAATTGTAGTTTTATGTACAATTTATGTCCAATCTCACGTTTATTACATTCTACGCTTGCTGGATAGCCCAAATTTGACGAAATGTCCCTGATGATGCTGTAGAAAGCGAAACTACTTGGGCAAGATATAATTATTAAATTTGTGCTCGATATTTGCCTTAGTTTTTCAAAGTTCATATATTTATGTACACTCCGCGTCATAGAAAACGGGCCACCCCAAATATTTAAAATATTTTCTAAATTATTATTTATTGCTACAAAATTAAGCATTTATTTTTTCGTATATTGAATCAATAACCTGTTTAGTATAAAATTTCATTATTATCGTAAAACATCAATCAAAAATAAAAAATTTAAAAAAATAGGAAATTTATTGAAAAAATCAACTTACAGGTTTTAAAACAACAATGAACTGTATATTAAAAATAAAGCTGGTATCCATTTTCAGTAATGGGTATTACTACCTCGATTCTGGATGACACTCCTCATTTGATTTGGCATGGAATTTATAACATTTTGGATATCTCTTTGGAGAAAAGTGCCGCGACTTTTTAGCAGGCTCCATATATGCTCAATAGGATTTAAATCGGGGCTTTGAGCAGGCCAGTCTATTTTTTGAATACCAACCTCGTCAAGGTACTCCGTTACTATCCTTGCCGTGTGTGGTCTCGCATTATCCTGTATTAGCAGGAATTCGTTGCCAATAAATCCAGCATAAGGCATCACATGATGTTGTAAGATTCCCGTTATGTACCTTACTGCTGTTAACGCACCTCTGTCGATCACGACGAAAACCGTATGCGCATCAAAAGAAATCCCTGCCCAAAACATTACTGAACCACCACCAAAAGCAACCCGTGGTGACCGAGTGCAACCAGCAAAACGTTCTCCAGCTCGTCTGTACGCCTTACTACGTCCGTTTTTACCATAAATAGACATTCTACACTCATCCGTAAACAATACTTTTTTCCAATTGTCTGCTGTCCAATTGATGTGCTCACGGGCAAAATCTAGTCTTCTACTTTTGTGAGCTGGGGAAAGTAAGGGTCCCGTTGCTGTACTGCAAGCTGTCAAACCTTGCTCTCTTAATCTTTACCGAATAGTGGAAACGCTGATTGCTGGTCTTTGAGCTTGCTGTAAACGTCCTTGAAGCATTCTAGCGGTTTGGGTCCGATTCCGTAATGCAGCAAGAAGGACGACGCGATCTTCCCTAGCGGTTGTTTTCCTTTTTGGACCCGTACCAGGTCGTCGTTGGTGAGATCCTGTGACAATAAATCGTTGCTGGGTCCTTTGTACAGTCGAACGACTAACATTCAATTGTCTTGCAACTTGTCTTTGACTTAATCCACTTCCCAGTAACGTTACAATTTCAACCGATTTTCGAAAATTCTCCATTGTTATTAACTGAAGACTACTTCACACTAAGTCGGCTACTGTAATACTGAGATGCGTTTAAAACTCATTAGAACCCTTTACAATATCAAACATTTCTCAAAACAATCACTTCCTCAAAAATTGATCAAGTTGTAACACCTTATTCTCAAAATTGTTTTGTTTTATAGGTTCTACGAATATCCTCAATCCAGTTACAGGGTCGGTTTGCTTTCGCAACAACCCATTTAACTTAAATAACCCAAGACACATTAAAAATAAAATAATGTTAATTCAATATACAATAAATTAAATGCTTCATTTTGTAGCAATAAATAATAATTTCGAAAATATTTTAAATATTTGGGGTGGCCCGTTTTCTATGACGCGGAGTGTATTTAAGACAACAGTTAAGGACTTACTTCTGGTAAACACTTTCTATTCGTTAGAGGAATACTTGCAGGCATCTTTTTGACAATTTGTATGTTTTTGTGTATATTCTATATTTTTGTGTTAACTGTTTTTATGTACTTACAGTTTTTACTGATTTTACTACCTATGTACCTATAGTTTTTTAGATTTTATTTTGACGTATTTTAATACTTGTAAAAGTCAGATGAAATAAAGAATATTGATTGATTGATTGTTCTTATCATACTCTTATTTCGTTGACCATTTTTGTCATTACATTTCGATTATTTTCATCTACTTTGTTCTTTCTAACGTATTATTGTATTTTTTATTTTTGTTTTTTGTATTTTCTACTTTTCGTTTCCCTGTATCTTCATTTATATTATTTTTAATTTAATCACGCAAAGACTTTTCCCAAATTTTTGCTGTGCTTCTCAATTTCGCTGGTATTTGTAGCTCTTTAACTATAAAGTTTTCTGTTCCTTCTCCTATTTCTTCGTTACAATTTATATTTTTAGACCTGATATTATTTATTAACTCAGTTATTTTATTTCTACAGAAAATCTGATTCCTCAATTGTGAAGGCACCAATTGATAAAAGACACGTTGTCGCTTGGTTAAGTAACGATGAAATAAGTAAGTATATGTGATTCTTTAAAAATATATACATATATATTGCAGGATCCAACTTGTAAATATAATACTTGACGGCTATCGCCATATTCCCGTCTCCTCCGCCAATCCTCCAGGTCCAAGGCATGCTACTCCACAAACCTCTCGAATCCATCGCTCTTCTAAATCTTTCATTCCATAAGCGTCGAAATGTACCTCTTTCTTCTTCCAGGGGGCTTCCATCTGTAAAGTTTTTAGGGCCAACGTTCGTCAGGCATTCTCAATATGTGTGCAAACCATTTTAAACCTCTTCTTTCTATTCTGTCAATGACCGTTTTTGTGCATTCATGTTATTTCTTATAGATTCGTTGGTCTTTATTTCCAGCCTTAATACTCTAGCACTTCTACTCAAATAATCCATTACAACTGACAACAATCTTCTCTTTAGGTCTGCATTAATTGTCCAAACTTCAGACCATACCAAAAAACTGATTCAACCATGGTTTGCACTATTCTTTGTTTGTTCCTATAAGACCCAAAAAAATAATTTTCTCAATACGAATTCTAACTTTTTATGTAGTTAGAATAAAACAAAAAATAGAAACTTCTGCGGTTTTTTGGAAACCTTTATATCAGACAGAATATAAACACCATACTGGATAATAAAGTGGTTTTGCATTGTTTTTCGTATCCTTATACAGTTGACTATTCATTCGGTTTATCTGAATAAGCCCCATGGCTGTAAATGTTAAATATAATAATTTACCAACCTCAGATATTTAAAAACAATAAATAAAATTGCTTTTTTGATGTATAATACGTCATTTAACTTTCAGAAACAATACAAAGAAATTTTGCCAAACTAGTGGGTTTACATGATTATCAAGAAGTAGATCCAATGACATTCAGAGATCTTTTATTAGAAATACTAGAGCTACCATTTCTCAAATTATTCTCCATTCATAACCACTGTGATTTATGTAAAGAGCTGGTAAACGTTATCAAAATTAATGGATATCGTCATAGCAAAGTAGCAGAATTCGTGTGCACTATCTACCATCAAATGGCCAACTTAACATTTTCTAAATTTTGTACGCATGTGGTGGCACAAAACTTAGTAAGTACTTCACTTAAAAACATACATTTTTATTGTTCTGAAGATATTTTCTTGTGGCATTTTAAATTAATTACTATTTAACTGGTAATAAGCCACAATTAAAGATAAAAATACGTTTATTGACGTTTGAATTTCCACTTCGGAAATCGTTCTCAAAATACAAACAGTAAATTAAACAAATTTTGTTTTTTGTTACATAGTGAAATGAGAAGATCTTTAGGTATTTCCAGACGAGACCGAATCAGAAATGATGTAAAAAAACAACGTATGGGATGTATGGGAATAGAAGGAATATAACTCAAGATATAGAAAAGAAACAATTAAGGTGGTATGGGCATGTTCAACGGATGCCAGCAATAAGACTCCCCAAAAAAGTATTAGAATGGCAACCGATAGGTCGACGGAAAAGAGGAAGACCCAGATTAGAATGGCAACACGGCGTAAACAGGTCCATGAGCGAAAGAAATTTAACAACAAACGACTACGAAGATAGGAAGAGATGGTGTTTAGGTATCGGACGGTATCGGACAACGTCGAAAGACGTTCTAAACCGAGAGGTCGAAATATTAGTGGGCATAAGAACGCGCAAATTAGGTTAGATGTGAGTGGGCCTCTACTTTGTTCACAGATGAGTCCCGATTTGGATTTGCGCCAGATGCAAGACGGGCAAGAATTTAAAGCCGCTATGGCAATACAGAACGATTGGCTACCGTGCAGGAGGTTCATAGATAGCAAGGCGGCAGTATAATGATATGGAGTGGCATCACTCTTGGAGGAAGGACCAATCCCGTTTTTCTGGAACGGTTTCTTAATGCAAGAGACTAGCGCGATATTATACTCAAACCTATTGTTGTCCCCTTTGCATAAAAATCTAGTCCCCAATTTCAATTAATGTACGACAATGCGCAACCGCATACTGCCAGGGTAGTGCGAACATTCCTCAAAAATAATAAAACTTGAATTTTTACCATGACACATGCACAATCGCAATAAGTTCAGGAGCAACTTATTGCTGAAAGGTTTATTATGGAGGCAGTTACAAAGAAATACCAAAAAATAATATACCGTTTTTATTACACTTTAAATTAAACAAGCCCACAAAATTATATTATAATACATTCTTTTATGTTTAGCCTGTGCTGGAGTACGTATTCGACAACATTGAAAATGTGGATCCAGAATTGGTCTGTACGATTGTTCTTCAAACCGAAGAGTGTGCTTATTCCAAACCAGCCCTTTCGTGGACTACAAAAATACCTAGAACACTGCCTAAATATCCAAAGGTAAGTGTTAAGTACTTGTAAATACATTGAGACAAGGGTTGAGTACTTGTTCTGCAATGAGTTATATACTCTTCTGAGCAGTAAAAGCAATGTTTCAGAAGACATTTTTTTTTAATTTGTCTTTAATACCTATTGGTAAAATATTGTAATAGTTATAATTAAGGCAATTTTTATCTGAAAGACGTAATCTACAGCGATTTGTTAGTAAGTAGTGACAGTTTGGCGTATTGTGAACGTGAACATCAGACTGCTGTATTAAATGGGCTCATTTTCTGAAACTTTCAGTCAGAACTTGAAATATCAACAGAGTAGGTAACGGCATAATTTTGATTTTGATAAAGAAACGTCGGCAGTGTTCTAGATAACTAACCCCTGCTAAAATTTTGATAGCTTTCTTCTGCATTCTAAAAATTTGTGCATTTATTGAATTGCACCTTATAATTAATCAATAGATTAGGTGAGAGTGGAGTCAATAAAAATATATCATTTTTAATGTTTCAAAGTTAATAACCCTTGCTAGTTGGCGAATAACAAATAATGAACTTGATAGCTTTCCTTTAGTTGTGAGATATGAGCCGACCAGTTTAATCGATTATCTATGGCTATTCCCAATAGTTTAACAGTCTTTTTGTTATCAGGATCATTATGTAAATTACTTGCAGATATAACTAAATTTTACGATTTATTGGAAAGGAATGACAAACGTGTATTCAAACAACAAGAAAAAAGTCTATATTGTATATAGACATATATATTAAATCTAAGACTAAGATTAACATTACCTTCTTATAAAAATTAATATTAAACTTACCAACTTACCACTGCACCGAGCTTTCGACATCTTCTCTGATGTCTTCTTTAGAACTTTCAGAACTTAGTCTCCTGAGCTTCCAGACACTAGTACACTGATCAATAATCAATGCACTACTACTATTTATTATTTGTAGCATGAAAAAGATCCAAAAGCTGATACTTTAAAAATTCTACATTTAACTGGCCCACACATTTCATTCGATTATGAAGAACATGGAGCAGTAAATTGCGGCGCTCCCTTATGCTGTAAGAAAGGACTGGGAAATAAAACAGACGGAGGAAATGCTGGGTACTGGGGAGAATACAGTTGCGATATTCCTCCATGGCTTTATGGCGATACCCTACAGCATATAAGTGAGACTCATAAGGTAACTTATTTATGCATCATTGTTATTTTGTGTATTTTCATTTTGTTCAACATTTAGGACTTGGACTTCATCTATTTTACTGGAGGAGTTCTGGATCATACAGTCTGGAAGTCATCAGCTCATTCTATGATAGAATCAATGTTTCTTGCATTTAAAGCTTTAGAAGAAACTTTCCCTGAGACTCCAGTGTTTCCTGTAATTGGAAATCATGATTCGAGTCCTCCGAATATGTAAGTAAAATATAGTTTTTGGTTTTCAGATCACCCAACATTGTTCATCATCATCATATAACGGGGGTCCTACGGCGATTGCCGCTTCCCGCATTTCAGCCTCCCTCTTTTCCTATCTCCCCAATCTCCCTCTTCTAAGCCTCTAGATTGCATTGTTTTTGTAATTTCTCTTCTCCAGGAATTTGGTGGTCTTCCCCTTTTCCTTCTTTCTGGCGGAACATACATTAGGGCTTTCTTTGGCCACCGCTCCTCCTCCATTCTCATCACGTGACCATACCATTGTAATTGCCTTCCTTGTATTCTATCTGAAAGAGTATCTCTAATTCCTGTACGGTTTCGTATTTCCTCATTCCTGATTCTTTCCATTCTCGATACTCGACATGACCTTCTAAGATAATCCATTTCCACAACGTCTACTTTTTCTCGTTCATTCTTTGTCATCGTCCAACATTCGGCACCATATGTGGTAATTGGTTCTACAATTGCTCTGTATACGCGAAGTTTGGTATGCATCTTTATTTTATTAGACCACAGTAATGAATTCAGTATTCGGATGCATTTTTCCCCTGGGTTTTTCGGTTTTGTACATCTATCTTAACTCTGCCATCTGCTGATATGATGCTTCCTAGATATTTATACTGGTTGTAGCCTTTTATGACTGCGTTTTCAAGCCTCAGGTCTGTGGTATTTCCTCCAATTTTTAAATATTCTGTTTTGCTTATGTTTACAGTAACCCCCCATTTGGTATATTCCTCAAATAATTTTCGATTCATATAATTTATATCTTCCTCATCGGTTGCAACCACCACCTGATCATCTGCAAACAACAATGTATACAGAGTTTCTTGTCCCACTTCGATGCCCATAAATCTACATTTATTTCTCCAATTCCTCAATGCTTCTTGGACGTATATTTTAAAGAGTGTCGGTGACAAACAGCATCCTTGCTTTAGGCCTTTAGTGACTTTAAATTCATTTGAGGTTCTGGTTCCAATTTTTACACAACTAACTGCATTTTCGTACAATTTATATATCGCTCGGATATACGTCGAATCCAATCCGGACCTTTTGAGGACCTCAAACATTTTCTTTAACGGGCCACTATCATATGCTTTCTCAAGGTCTATAAATACCAAATGGGTCTCTCTACTTATTTGTCGTAGGATAAATATATTATCAAGGCAGGATCTCCCGGTACAAAAGCCGCTTTGTTCTTCAATATCTTGTATCTGTCTTTCAACCCTCTTCTTTAATATTCTGCCGTACAACCGGCCCACAGAGCTCGTCACACTAATACCTCTATAGTTGGAACAGTCTCTTTTATTCCCTCTCTTATATATGGAGCTTATATAAGATTTATTCCAATCTTTAGGAATTTCCTGGTCTCCACACATACATTTATTGAAAAGGTCTACTATTAATTCTAAAAGTGCAGTCGGCCCATATTTAACCAGCTCTATGGGAATGTCTCCAGGCCCTGCGGCTTTTCCGTTTTTAACCTCTTTTAAGGTTTCCGTCAATTCAGATAATGTTATTATAGGGATTTCCTGTCTTTCGTCTCTGTTGTCTATTAATTCCCTTATCTTTTCCCATCTGTACTCTACTCTATCCTCTTTCAGCAGTTTCGTATAATATTCTTCCCATTCATTTAACTTTATGAGAGAAATGTTGTCTTCATTTTTCTCATTTTTCCTAAACTGTTTTAATGTTTTCCAAGCTTGCGCCACTTTTGTTCCACCCATAAATCTGTCCAGTTCATCACACTTAGCCTCCCAGTTTATATTATTGAAGCCATATGTGATATGCTTGTTTTTTCTTGAGAACTTTCTCTTCTAGTTCCGTTGACAACCATTCAGGTTTTCCTTTTTTCCGATTTTCAACTTTTCCCAGTGCTTCATTTGCCGCTTCATGAATATATTTTTTAATTACCTCATACAGACTTTCGGGATCAAGTCCTTTGTTTCTATATTTTTTATTTTCTGAGCTATTCTAATTTTATATAAGAACTTTGTCGAATCTTGTTTAAAGCTTTCCAGGTTATATTTTATGTTTTCTATGGTTGTTCCTATGTCTGTTACTTCATCATTTTTGTGACTTGATTGTTCTCTCTTAAATGTCACCATTACTTTTGCAATAATCATATGGTGGTCACTTCCACATTCTGGCCCTCTAAACACCTTCACGTCCTTCGTTTTTAGTTTAGAATCTTTACGATGAATAAAATAGTCGATTATTGATTTTAAATTCCTGGTAGGCTGCGTCCATGTAAATTTATGTATATTCTTATGTTGGAAGAAACCATTTAATATTTTCAAAGAATGTGCCTCGCAAAAATCTATTAATCTTTGACCATTGTCGTTCAGAATGTCTTCTCCATATCTCCCTATTATTTCACTGTTGGAGCTCTTTCCGGTTCTTGCATTAAGATCACCTAAGATCCAAATTTCTTTCTTCTTATTAATTGTGGCTAGAACAGTTGTTAACTTGTTAAAGTACTCTTCCTTGCTGTCAACCCTTGAGTCATCCGTCGGTGCATATGTTCCAATTACCACTATTTCATGGCCATTTTTCTTAATTTCCATGAGGATAATTCTTTCATCTATTTCTTGCCATGATTTAATACATTTTTTCAGTTTCTGATGTATTGCTATAGACACTCCTCTTTTAGCTCGTTCGCTCTTTTCTACGCCACTATAGAAATGCAGGTATTCGTTTATCTTTTCATTTCCTCTTCCTTTTTTCTTTACTTCAGTTAAGACACAGATGTCTAGTTTCATTTTACTCAGTTCACGGAAGAACTCCTCCTGTTTTGTCCTTATTCCTTGTATGTTCCGAGCACCCAAATTCATAATCCATTTTCTTTGCGAATTTCGTTTATAGTTTAATCCGTCCGAATTCCAAGGCTTTTTGCTGAAATTTTTTTTCCCAACATTGTTGCTTGGTGCAAATCAACGGTGTAATGACGATATAATTTTGATAGCTGACACAAATACAGATATGCATGAATTACATCTTTAATATTGAAATATATTCTTCTTCTTCTTCTTCTTCACTGGCTTTACAAGTCGGAGTAAGTCTTTGTCGCATCCACTATCGCCCTTCATCCTCTACGATCTTGCGTTTTATTTACCATTGTTGTACACCAATTCTAGATAAATCGACTTCAACATCATCCTTCCATCTTTTTCTCGGTCGGCCTATTGATCTTCTACAATCTGGTCTTTCAAAAAACACTGTCTTTAACACGTGTACCACGTGACCTGCCCATCTCATTCGGTTTGCCTTGATATGTCTTACTATGCTTTCAGTTCCATACAGAATCATCAATTCAGCATTGCGGCGTTTTCTCCAATCTCCTGTGAATTCATTTCTTTGCGGGTCAAATATTATTCTGACTACCTTTCTTTCAAATACTAGAAGCTTATTGATTCCCCGCTGGCTGAAAGTCCATGTTTCACTGCCATATGTAATAATTAAACGAATAATCGAATAATTAAACGAATAATCGGTACAGTGCTAATTTAGATTTTCTTTTTAGCAGCTTCGATATTAATATTGTTGAAAGGGAGTATAATGCTCTATTTCCCGTAGCTATCCTTGCTGAGACCTCTTTTTCTATGTGGTTGTCAGCTGTGATCATCGCCCCCAAGTATTTAAACTCCTTTACTACTTCGAAGTTGTGATGATTAATACTGATGTTCTGCGTTACTTTTGGTCTTAGATTTTTGGTAACTACCATGTATTTTGTCTTTTCTTTATTTTTTCGGAGACCCAGACTACCTCTTTCCTCCTCGAGCTGTGAAAACACCTCTCTCACGTCTCTTGTAGAATGCGTGACTGCATCTATATCATCAGCAAAGGCCAGCACCAGTTTTGATCCTTGATCAGCAAATCCTCCTGTCAGCTCAGAGTATATTTTACTTATTGCATATTCTAAAGCAAAATTGAACACCAACAGTAACAAGGGTTCCCCTGCTTAAGTCCTGAATTTACATTAAATGGCATCGATGTTCTGCTTCCTATCTTTCATTGCTATATACTATCACTGTGGATACTATGGATATCATTGCTATCCACAATTTGCTTATTTTTATGGAATCATACGCTTGCTGGAAATCTATAAAAATTTGGTGCATATCGCTGTTGAATTCCCAGTTTTTCTCTAATATTTGTCGGATGGTAAATATCTGATCTATAGTTGACCTTCCAGTACGAAAGCAGCATTGGTAGTCTCCTAGAATATCTTCCGAATATGGCGTGAGTCTCTTTAGTAGAATAATTGATAGCGCTTTGTATGATGTGCTAATAAGGGATATGCCTCTATATTTTCGGAATTGTTCTTTGCTTCCTTTCTTAGATATGGGAATTATAACGCTTCCCTTGTTGTTGCTATAGAATATAGAATGATTTCATACAATTTTTGATGTAAAAGTTTTCCTCCTTTTTTAACAACTCTCCATTTATATCATCATTTCCTGGTGCTTTATGGTCTTTTAGAGACGCGATCGCATTCTTTACTTCCTCAAGTGTTTGTGCTGGTATTTCGACATCTGCAGAATGAAACGTAATATTTGCTTCCTCCGTCTCACTTTCAATATTTAGTAAATTTCGAAAGAATTCCTTCCATCGTTCGACGATTTCCGTCTCCATCATTATTAGTTCTCCTGCTTCATTTCTCATAGGCTGTTACTCCAACACTTGCACCTTTTCTGACTGACTTCACTTTAGTAAATAATTTCCTTATTTGATTCATCTCGCCACTTCTGTCCATTTCCCGGATTTGCTGTTCAAGGTTGCTCCTCTTTTTCGTTCTGAATAGTCGCCTTGTTTGTGCTCTTGTTCTGTTTAAATCTGCTTTGTTCTCATCTGTGGAGTCTTGTAGCATTGTCAATCATTTTTTAGTTTGTATTTCCAGAATTTCCTCGAATGCTTTGTCAAACCTTTTTGGGTGAGTCCTCTTTTTTCCAATGGTTTCCTTGGCTGCTTGTTCTATAACTGATGCCACTTGCTGCCAAGCTTGTTCTAACTCTACAGTATGCTCTTCCTCTCCCATCAATTGGAATCTATTGCTTATTGATAATCTAGTTCTTTATTTGGTGTTTGTAAAGCTTCTATGTTTCATATTTCTCTTTTTTCTTGTTATTCCAGTTTCTGTATTGATAATCGCGTTCTTAATTTAGATTTCAACAGAAAGTGATCGCTATCGCTGCCAGCTCATCTCATACTTCGCGAATTAATAATGCTACCAGAGTGTCTTGCGTCAATGAGGACATGATCTATTTGATTTCGTGTTTTTCCATCATTTGAAACCTTGTAAATGTCCTTTCTCTCGAATTGGGTGGATTTAACGATCATGTTATTAGATATTGCGAATTGTGAGGTGGTCAAAGAATGCAAATACCTAGGAGCAACAATTATCAGTGCAAACACAGGAGAAGGGGAGGTTGAAATACGAATACTGGCGGGGAATAAATCATTCTTTGCCATTCAACAACTAATGAGATCAAAGCTTCTCTCAAGGCGTGCCAAAATCCAAATGTACAAAACCATAATACGACCAGCAGTGACATGGACAGTGAAACACGGACATTGAGAAAGAAAGAAATCAATAAGCTATTAGTATGGAAACGCAAAATCCTGCGAATTATATATGGTCCTTGCAGGGACAGCGTGACAAATGAATGGAGGAGCAGATACAACAATGAAATAGAGACTCTCTTCGGGAAAGGAAACATCGTAAGAAACATAAAAGCCAATAGATTAAGATGGGCAGGCCACGTGGTACGGAGTGATGACGACAGACTGATTAGCAATGTGTTTTGGGAAAGACCAGATGGTAGAAGATCGACAGGAAGGCCTAGAAAAAGGTGGAAAGACGCAGTCAGGGAAGACCTGGAGAAGATGGAAGTAAGGCCATGGGAAATAATAGCACAGGATCGAAATCAATGGAAGGCAATAGTAAACGCGGCAAAAACTCACGAAGAGTTGTAAAAGCCAATGATGATGATGAATTGTTAGCCGGTGTTCATTATCATTTGTTGTGTCCTGCAAGCTATGCTTACCAATTACTTCTCTTAAATAATCTTCATTACCTAGTTTAGCGATTGAAATATATTAGTGATATATTATTGAAATATAAGCAGTTTACTAATTTCCAATTCTTAGAATTTTGAACCTTAAAATTGTGTTGGCTGAACTATATTTGTGAATCCTCTATTTTGTAAACAACTGAGAAAAAGTTTAATGTAACATTTATAATTGTTTCAGGTTTGCTCCTAATAAACCAGATATTTATTCAAAAGGTATATCTACTAAATTGCTGTATATTCACTGGGCGGCATTCTCTACTTCATGGTGGTTACCCGAGAGTGCTAGGAAAACAATTCTAAGTCAAGGCTACTATGCTTATTCGGTTACTGATAGGTTAAAAGTTATTGGATTAAACAATAATGTATGCTATAACTTTAACTGGTAAGTAATTATTACAAATTTTTAAAACATATTTTTTAACTAATTAGGATAATTTTTGATCAAAAAGACTGGTAATACAATGTAAAAGAAACAAAATATGAAACGAAAAAAAATTGCGGACGATCTGTGGTCGGGAAGTGGAAGGGGATGAATTTCTAAGGGTAAAAATCGGAATATCACGATTTTTAGCAAACCTCCTAGTCCAATTGAAAAATTTAAGTGAAAAAGTTGTAGATAATAAAAATATTTACAAATATCGTATTCACACTTTTTTCTGATAACCTCCAATTGTATGTGAAAAAATAAAAATAACCCTGTTTGAATGTTTTTTTTCCACAAAAAAATACCTTTTTATGTCCCAAACACACTGTAATTATTTTTAAATCCAACATTTCAGAAGTATTAATTTTTGTGACGTGATTGATAATATAAAAATGTTACTTTTACGCTTAGACATAAAAATGAAGGACTTTTACGCCTAGGCAAAAAATGTAAAAGTCAAAAGCTCAAAAGCTTTGTAAGCAGCAGTGGACTTGGTAGGCAACAATCCTTCAGTTACAGTCTTTGCAGTAGACAAAAACAAAATATCTGGAGCTGTGGTTCCCAACTAGTGGTCCGCGGACCCTTGGGGGTCCGCTAGGTATGGCTGAGGGGTCCGCAAGATATAAAAATAAATATATTTGGGTTTGCACATTTGGGTTTCACGTTAACTGGCCTTGAGCAGCAGCCTAAACCTCAATCTGTAATTTGCTACGAAAGCCTTTCAAATGAGTGTATGAAGCCAGCAAAACTCCGTCGGCATCTTGAGACAAAACATCCAGAGTACAAGAGTAATTCATTCGATTTTTTTTAAAAACCAACTAGGAGATCTTAAAAGATCTCATAAAAACATCACTAAACACTATGGTGCAAATGTAAATGAAAATGCAACCCCTGCATATTATTAGGTATCTCTGCTTGTCGCTAAATGTGGAAAAATAATATTATGGACCACGTAGGATTACCGAAAAAAAAGGTATCTCCTATTCGCAAATTTTTAATATAAACTAGAAACTAATTGTCGATCTTAAGCAAATAAACCCTACTTAGCTCAAAATTATTTGGTTTTAGGTGGTTACTATTAGATACAAAATTCATTGATGAGCAACTGCAATTTTTAATACAAGAATTAGAAGATTCGGAGCAGAGTGAACAATACGTGCATATCCTCACCCATATACCAGTTGGTATTAATGAATGTATACAACCATGGGAAGCTAGCTACAATAAAATAATCCAAAGGTAGGATGGATTCCTTAAACCAGGAATTATTCTTTTTCTCATTCTACCATCAAATACATCTTTAAGTATGGTGTAGAACCTCAGATCTTGGATTTCTTATAAAGTAACCGAAATAAGTAAATTTTAGTTTTACCAGAATTATTAGTTCTTCCCTTCTTTCCAATTTAAGGAGGACCTCAATACTTGCTGTAATAAACTGCGGCAAATTTAAAGATCTCTGTGTCTGTTGATGTTTCTGTGCATGATTTTTACATCCCTCAGTCTTGCTTCACCAGTGTTCCGTACAAGCTATTGAGTGTTTAGATGGAGCAACGAATTTTAAAGACGTAGAAAATACCCTCGCAGTGAGCATAGAGACGGCGAACTATGACAACTTTTCTCTTTTTTCTTCTGGTTTGCAGAGAACAGAGAACACGAAAGGCTGGCATCTCTGTGAAATCTAGGGCATATACCGCAATTAGAATACTCATATTCAATATGTTTTCTTTTTCTTCTAGTGTCGTCTCCACTAATAAAGGTTGGCTATAAATATTGCAAAATCGTCTCTATTTTCGTTTCTTTTTGTCAAAATCAGCTGCAACAACTCGTACTTATCATTTCTAAGTATGTGCTTCAAATATGCTATCTTTCGCCTTTTCTTCTTTTTGTGCCACTCCTATCGGAGATTGGAAATCATCAAGGCTATTCTGACCTTGTTTACGGCTGACCTAAAGAGTTCATTAGTGGTGCAGCCAAACCACTCTCTCAAATTCCGCAACCATGACATTCTTCTACGGCCTGGATTCCGTTTTCCTTCTATTTTTCCCTGCATTATATTTTGAAGTAATGCGTATTTATGTCCTCTCATTAGGTGACCAAAATATTCGAGTTTTCTTCGCTTTAGCGTTAACAACATCTCTGGGTCTTTTCCTATTTTTCATATTACTTCACAGTTTGTTATTCTTTCAACCCAACTAATATTCAGCATTCGACGGTAGCACCACATCCCGAAACTTTCAATATTTTTCATGTTGTTCTGTTTGAGAGTCCAGGCCTCTACACCGTATAATAGCGTGTTAAATACATAGCGTCTCAGCATTCTTAATCGTAGAGGGATGCTTATATTTCTGTTGCAGAAGAATTTTCTCATTTTTATGAAGGTGGCCTTGGCAATTTCGATACGTCTTCGCCTTTTAATAGTAATCAAAAGTTCTCTGTCTCTTCCCATTATGTACAACACTATTTTGTTCGTAATATGATCGGTCTATGGTATCTTCAAAATTCTCCTAAGAATCTTAAAAGCTTCCAGTTTTCTCATTAAGTCAACATTAACAGTTAAGACTTCAACACCATAAAGAAGAATAAAGTAGATATACCATTTTACCATCCGATATCGGATTTGCAGTATGAGTCTTTGATTACTCAGAAATTTCCTCATTTTCAAAAAGGCTGATCTAGATTGTTCTATTCTTGAGGAAATTTCTGATTTCGGATTCAGATCTTCCGTAATCCAGACTCTTAAATATTTCATAACTTTGCCCCTCTTACTGATAACCATGGTTTTTGTTTTCTTTATGTTTATTGTTAAACCAAACTGTTCCCCAGTATCGCCAATTGTGTTTAGTAACGTCTGCAGGTCTGTCTCACTTTCAGGGATAATGACTGTATCGTCAGCATAACGGATGTTATTTATATTTTCACCATTTATCTTAATCCCTTCTGCACAGTTTTCAAATTCTTGCTTAAATAACTCTTGGGATATATATTAAATAGTAATGGTGAAAGTACACAGCCGCCCTGTCTCACTCCTCCACTTATCTGTTGCGCATCCGTGCTATTTCCATTTAATGTTATCACAGCCTGTTAGTTCCAATAGAGATTTCTCACTATATTAATGTCATTTTTGTCGAGTCCTTTCTCTTTAGACATTCCATGAGAATGTTATGTTTTACTTTGTCGAAAGCTTCCCCATAGTCTATAAACTCACCGAAAAGATCTTTTTGTTAGTGTCTACTTTTTTGGGCTTGAGTTGTGAAACTGTACAGACCTTCCATTTATGAAAGCTGTTATGAAAGCCAAACTGTCTATTATTCATATCCGCTTCGCATGCAAAATGTTTTTAATTATGATATTAAGCTGATTAATCTATAGTCATTACAGTGTTTGGGGGTTCTTGGTTTTTGACAGCGGAACAAAGGTCAATAGCAGCCATTCAGTAGGTATCTCACCAGATTTGTATATGTTGTTAAAGAGTATAGTTATTGCACTTAAATTGTCTTCGTTTATAAGTTTAATCAGCTGGATATGAACTTCATCTGGCCCGGGGGTCTGCCATATTTTGAGTTGTTTATAGCATGTTGGACTTCAGATTTTCACTTCAATACATGTAAGAAACTAATATACCGTCAAGTAAGAATCTATCGAACTGTTTAAGTATTCTAAATTGTCGATGGGCTTTCGAGGACTTCAGAGCCACCAGTGAACTTCACGTGGAGTGTGGTAATGGTACACCCAGATCGGAGATTATCCAGATTTGGAGAATACCTTCGTGGATGCTACGGTCGTACGACATTGGATATATTAGGGATGTTGATGTTTATTAACTGTTATATCTCTTTTATTTCTAATTTATCTTTTTCATCGCATGTTGGCATATATAACTGGAATACATGGATCTTTGTAGGCTGTACATCGAGAGTAATTTTAATTATGAGGTTATATTCGCATACAAATTTTGCAAGATTTTTGTGAATCAGTATTGCTACGCCTTTTTGACCAGTTTTATGGGCTTCCTACATGAAGATTTAGTAGTTTTCGATTCTCGCGTCCCTTATCAGAAAGTATGTTTCAGAAACTCTACATACGTGTTCCACTCCAAGAAATTTAGTTTGCCTAGTTCCAACAAGGTTCCATGTGGCGCTGTTTTTGTACATAAGTTTAGCTTAGGATTTCCAGTCACCAATTTCGAATTCATACCTAATGAATACCCGGATTTTGATAATCCTTAGCTTCTACTTGATTGTACTTCTTCTTCTTAACATGCCATACACCAAAGTGCGTAGGCGACTATCTCATTACTAGAATTCTGTACTTGGCGGCATGACACAGCTCACCTGTATTGTGTATTCCTGTCCATTCTTTAATATTCCTTAACCAGGATAATTGTTTGCGGCCGGCTCCTCTCCTACCTTCGATCTTCCCTTGTAGGATTAACTGTGGTATTTCATATTTTGCTCCTCTCAATATGTGCCCGAGGTAACCAATCTTGCGTTTTTTAATTAATTCAAAGAGTTCTCTTTCCACGCCGGCTCTATTAAGGACGTCATCGTTTCGAACTCCATCCACCCAAGGTATGCGCATCATTCTTCTCAATGACCACATTTCAAATGCTTCAAGTTTGTTGATAGATGTTTTTTTCACCATGGCATGGAAAGTCCACGTTTCCATGCCATAAAGCAAGATGGACCATATGTAGCACTTGACCATTCTGTAGCGTATTTCGAAGTTTAGGTGTTGATTACATAGGAGCGGTCTGAATTTCACAAAAGCTTGTCTTGCCATTTGTATTCGGGTTTTTATCTCGTGTTGTGGATCCGATTGGTCACTGATTGTGGTGCCAAGGTATTTAAAAGTTTTCACGCGATTTATACGATTGTCACCTATGCATATTATCGGGTTTTCTGGAGGGTTTCTGCTAATGACCATATATTTCGTTTTCAAAATGTTGATTTTGAGGCCATATTTTTTACCTATGCTATTCACCCTATCAAGTAATAACTGCTGATCTTCCAAATTATCAGTTATAATCACTGTGTCGTCCGCATAGCGTAGGTTGCTAATTGGTATGTCGTTCACCTTAATGCCTAATTCCGTATCTTCTAATGCTTCCGCAAATATATTTTCAACATATAAATTAAAAAGCATCGGAGAGAGTATGCAGCCTTGGCGGACACCTTTCCGGATTTCAAATTCATCCGTATATTGGTCTTGACCAATCCTCACCTTTGCCATTTGGTTCCAGTATAGATTCTGAATAATTCTGATCTCCTTCTGGTCAATGTTGGCCCTATGTAGTAGTTCCATCATGATATCATGTTTAACATTGTCAAATGCCTTCTCGTAGTCGATGAAGGTACGGTAGACATCTTTTCGTTGATCTAAGCAGGTTTGTATTAAGGTGTTTAAACATAAAATTGCCTCTCTTGTTCCTAGATCTCCCTTAAAACCGAATTGTGTTGACCCGCTAAGTTCTTCTAGTATCTTGTACATTCTTGAGTGTAATATCCTAAGGAAGAGTTTCAACAAGTGACTCATTAAACTGATTAAGCGGTGTTCATTGCATTTTGTGGCATTAGCTGTTTTTGGGATCATCACAAAGGATGACTGCAGCCATTCTCGCGGAATGTAACCAGTATCATAAATTCTATTGAACAGCCTTACCAAGATTTCGATATTCTCCTCGTCTAGTAGTTTTATTGCTTCTATATTAATTTCATCTGGACCTGTTGCTTTATGCATCTTTGTGGTTCTAACTGCATATTCTATTTCACTTCGCATTATTGATGGCCCTGATAAGTTTTCGGAAGAAAGTTTGGGCGTTGGTTGTGTTGGTCTGTCGTCACTAAAAAGGCTTTCTGCGTATTCTTTCCACGCCATTGCTATCTCCTCTTCTGACTCTATGTATTCGTTTCTGTCGTTGCGTATTCTTGTTCTGTGGTGGCTTTTGTGTATATTCGATATTTCTTTGATCTTCTTATGTAGTCCAAAACTATCTCCCTTTTCCTGCAATTGTTCTATTTCGTTGCACCTTTCCACCATCCAACGTTCTTTTGCTTTCTTAATTTTCTGACGGATTTCTTTGTGTATCTGTTTGTATTTGTCTTGATTACGTTGTTGTTTATGTTGCCTTCGCTTTTCCATTAGATCCATAATTTCGTCCGTCATCCATTCGTTATGCTTTCTCTTTCTGATCTGTGTTTTAACTTCCCTGTTTACTGCCAGAATCGTTCCTTTAATATCATTGACCATCTCTTCGATATCATCATTTTGTTCTATTACTCGCATTCTTTCATTAATTTGATTCGCATAACTCTTCTTCGTCTCTCATCAGTTCTCTTGTATTTATAGGTGTGCTGGTATTTCTATTTGTTCTCTTAATTTTTGCTAGTTTTAACCTCACATCTGCTATTAGCGGATTATGATCGGATGCAATATCAGCACCTGGATATGCTGCGATTCTTTTGATAGCGTTACGAAATCTTCTGTTTATTAAAACATAGTCAATTTGGTTTCTAATTATTCGATTTGGACGGTCTCCTGGTGATCTCCAAGTATATAACTTACGAGGTGGGAGCTGAAACCATGTGTTCATGACGACAAAACCGTTCTCCTGGCAGAATTCACACAGCAGGTCGCCTCTTTCATGTCTAACTCCAAGGCCGTACTCTCCAATTATGTCTTCATTGTACTAGTCTCACAAAATTAGAGAGCCCGACGGAGCGTAGAAGCTCCTTCACCAAAATAAAGATTCACCGGTTTCAGTAAAATGGCATGCGCTGTAGTTTCCCACTCATTTCTTAAAACAGTATTACTAATCGCTTATCGTTATTAATGTGTATTGTATTTCACTTACTGCAATTTGTAATTTATTTTTAGTATCATATCCATATTGACACTAGTAGAAAGGTAGACGCTTCACCCCACTTTGATTTTTGACCTCTGACGTCACCGCCATCTGGTCATGGAGACACGTCACTGGCCTCCGCGCCTCCGACTTCGAACGACGTTTTTTACACCGTTTTATGCGTTTATTTTAGCGTAAGAAATGCTAAGAATCGAGAAGCAAATGGACCTGATAAAATTCCTACAGAACTGTGAATGATAAATCCGTAACCATAATATTACATCTATTCAATACTATATACAGTACTAGTATAATACCTCAAGAATGGTTGCTGTCTACGTTTGTCACCATACCGAAGAAAACTAAAGCAATGCAATGTTCAGATCATCGAACAATTTCCTTGATGAATCATCTGCTTAAAATATTTCTTAGAGTCATTCAGTCAACCAAATCTATCAAAAGTTAGATATCGATATTAACGATACACAGATGGAATTCAGAAAAGGATTAGGTACAAGAGAAGCTCTCTTTGTCTTAAACGTTCTAACACAGAGATGACTAGATGTTAACCAAGAAGTACACGCCTGCTTTATAGACTTTAACAAAATACGTCACAATAAACTCAAGGAAATCCTGGAGGGTAAGAACATCGACACCAGAGACATACAAATAATATTAAATCTGTACTGGAATCAGCGAGCTAATATAAAAATAGAAGACCAAACATCGGACGTAATAGAAATACGTAGAGGAGTACGACAGGGTTGTATATTGTCACCGTTCTTGTTTAATATCTACAGCGAACAAAATATGCCAAGAAGCTCTCTCACATGCAAACGAAGGGATAATAGTTAATGGAGAAGTTATCAATAACATTCGATATTCTGGCGATTCTGTGATAATGGCAAGAACAGCGGAAGATCTACAACCTCTAGTTGAAAGTATTAATGAGAGATGTAATAACTATCGCATAAGCATGAACATCGCAATAAACGGTACCTAACTGGAAAAAGTAAGCGAATATAAATACTTGGGAACCCTCATCAATGAAACAGGTGACCAAAATCACCAGATAAAAGGACGTATTGAAATTGCCAGGTCTACCTTTATAAAAATGAAAAAAAATATTTTTTAATCGTGATATTGGTATTCAGCTACGAACTAGAATGTTAAAATGCTATGTATTCAGTAGTTTGCTTTACGGTGTTAAGGCATTTTACTCTTAAACAGAGGAATGTTAATAATCTTGAAAGTTTGAGATTTGGTGCTACCGCCGTATACTAAAAATTAGTTGGGTGGATAAAATTACAAATGAAGAGGTAATACGCAGAATAAATAACGATCTAGAAGTTATACTGAATATAAAAAAGAAAAAACTTAAATACTTAGGCACCTGATGAAAGGACAAAGGTACACATTCCTACAAAAAATTCAAGGTCGCAGAAATTCAGGCCGTAGAAGAATGCCCTGGATGAGAAATTTAAGAGGGTGGTTTGGCTGTACCACTAACGAATTGTTCAAAACAGCAGTAAGTAAAATTAGAATCGCCCTAATGATATTCAATCCGCGAGGGCTGTCAGCATGACCGGAGGGCGGTAACGTCAGAGTTCAAAGATCAAAGTGGGGTGAAGCGTCTATCTTTCTACTTTTTGACTTCTGATTTTATTCGTTTTAGATATGCTCATATTATAAAAGGACAGTTTGTTGGACATACTCGTACTGATGAACTAAAAATATTCTATGACACGTTCAAAACTCCTATTAACGCCGCTTTCAATGGGGCAAGTTTAACACCATACAAAAATAACAATCCATCCTACAAAATAGTACATGTCCATCCTGATACAATGGTAAGTTGATCACACTCACGTCAACACTATGATCACTTCATCAATATCCACGACATTTATTACAATGTATTTGATTGTATGGTATGATATATACTTTGCTTAAATTTTTTTTTTCACATTCTCGATAGCATTTTCCAATTTTGAGGAGAAATAGATTTCATAGTACACTTTTACAAAACTATGTTGTTGTTCTCTTAAAATATCTTCTGTAATATTTTTGAATTTATTTTTAATAATTTTTGGGATATATGTTATAGATTACATTCAATAAATTAATGTCTTTATAGTTTTCGCAATTATTACAGTCGTGTCTTTGTTATATAACTTGTTTCATTTGTCACGTGTTATGTCTTTTATATCCCTACAAGATGTAGCATTATTAAGCGTAGCAAGAGACCTCCGTATCTTAGAATTTCCTTGTTTATTTGATATACTTCTGTTGATTTTTGATTCCTTGATATTGTAATCGCCTGAATTCTTCTAAAGTTTCCTACCTTCTTAGGATGTTGGCGACCAAATTGGCCCTTCTTATTCTCTTCACTGCAGTTCAAAATACATCAATTGACGTTAGAGCAGTCCATTTTTTAAGATTTGCCAGCCAAGATATATAATTGCGTCCAAGGTCTTGTAACGATGAGTCTAAGCCATCACCGTTAAACCAGCGTGCGCGCGAACCAACCCATGAAGTAGGAGTGTATCGACAGTAGAAAGGGCAAAACTAATTACCAAGCTCCGCTATATAAACCGCAACATTTCCTTATAGGGGGGGGGAATCGACAGGTGTTGACTGAAGGTTGTCTTCTTCCCTACCCCGGCTTGTGGACGTGTTGAGTTCACAAGTTGTTCCGTCCCATACCGCCGTTACCCGAAGAGCGTGTTGATCTCTTCACTACTCATACTCTGAAGCAGTCGTGTTGAGACTGTCGAGGAGTGTCCTGTTAACCCGAATCACTTAAGGGACGTGTTGAGTTCCTTTCCTTTCTTTGTACCTATCGTCCGCTGTTATTAAATCGATACAACGTTCCCGTAAAATTTTAAATACACATTCGCTTGCCGATAAAACTAATTTCATATGACAAGGTCAAACTTAATTTGAATAAATAGGCCAGGTACTGAGAAGACTAAACCAAATTGTAAATATGTACATAAGATTTTTGTCAATTTAATTTAAGGAAGACAATAAAGTTTTATTTTTGTTTTGAACTCTGTCTCTGATTGTCTAAAAGCTACCCATATAGTGACTCCTACGAGAGGACATCACAAATGGCGCCCGAGCAGAAAAATACGTTTTAAACACTAATACCGACCGAATTCCGAATTTTATTTTCATGAGACAGTACTACATTTCAAATTTTAATCAAATACAGGGTGATTCACAGTTCAAAAATGACAGACGCTCTGGAAACGTCGAAGGTTAGTTGGGTGTACCTATTAAAGAAAGACGAACTTATAGCCGAATTAACAAACAGAGAACAGCCGACGGAAGGGAATTTCAGCTAGCTAAGAGCGAGATTAGTTGCGATCATCAAGGCACCAACTCAAAAAGGCCAAAACCCAGAGGAAATAGAAGAAAACCAGATGGAAGACAGACAAAGAAAGATGGAAATAGTACGCAAATGGGGGTTACACTTTGACGGTTCAAGAGACCCAATAGAATTCATAGAACGGTTGAAAGAACTCCAGACAGCTTACGGCCTACAAGACACCCACGTTTTACAAGCTCTACCAGAAACATTAAACGGGAAAGCATTACTATGGTACAGAAACAATAATAAATATTGGAACAATGTGGAACAAGAAGCGACAGAACAGCTTTAAATATCACGCTGGCAGATGGAAAAACCAGCAACATAGAAATCTGTTTTACAGCAAAGAGAGGACATTACACAATATTCAAAATACAATGCATTTTACAAGGAAACACAGAATGTCACTAAACAATATTACAATCTCTAAAAATGTTTTTATTTTCTTTAACTCGGCAAAAGTAACACAACTTCGTGATACAAACAAATGGCAACTGCCATTAAATTTACTTCTTGGCATAGAACTATATCACCAGTGCCACCTAGGAGAGTGGCATGGCCCATGGCCCCTATACTAAAGATATTTTCATAATTCATAGTCTATGTTAAACAGCGATGATGACAGTATGCATCCCTGTCGAACTCGTTTTCGGACAGTTCATTTTCGAATCACACTATTACTTTTTGTTGGAGACAGAAGTTTGAGATATCTTATATCTTTGCCATCGAATCCTTAGGTTTTGATTTAGTTAATTAGTTTCCCATATGTACTTAGATGCCTTCATTTCACCTTTCTTCTTTGAATTTGGCCTATATGGACTTTGTTCTTTTTTTTAGAAGGAATTCCTTTTATAGAATTGTAAGTTTATTGTAACGTTTTTTCTGAAGTTTATTCATTTCTTCACATTTTTTTTATGTCACTTTTCCTTATCAACTCTTTTTCTTAATTTATATAGTTTTTTTTGTATTTATTAATGTTTTACGATTTCCATTAGTATCGTGTTTTATGAATCAAATAATAAATCCCGTATTGTTTTTATTCGTGACGCTTTACACGCCATTCATTATTATGTTAATAGTAAATAAAATGTCATGAAAAAATTGTTTTACTTTTTTTAGGATGTCGTTGATATCGAAACCTATTATTTCAACTTGACCGAAGCTAATCTCAATCCAAACAGAAGTCCGAAATGGAAGAAATTATATTCCATGAAAGAAGCCTATGGTCTAACCGATTTGTCACCTAAAAGTTTAGATGTCTTGGTAGATGCATTGTTTACTAATACAACTTTGATGGATAATTACTGGAAGTAAGTTTTTTATTTACAGTAGTCTTAACGATTTCCTATATAACGATAATTCCCATATAACGATGAAAATAGTAAACGTTGTTTGGTTCGTCATAAGGACAATTTATTAATTCCTTCTATATGCGCTGTGGGCAAGTACTTGGAGAGGATACCAAAAAAGATCGTGCGCGTGCGGGTGAAATTTTCCACCTTTGTTAGCAAATTTCATAAGTACTTATTGAAGAAAATGAGGTCTCGCAAATGCTATGTTATAAATTGTTAAAATACAACAAAAAATAGTAAATTCAACTTCTATCGGTTTTCACCACGTAAGCACAAATCAGAAAGCACTATCAGAATAAAGCAGAAGTAAGTAACATAACTCATATTCTGCATTCTTACTCCCAATTTCTTAATAAGTTTGACGTGAACATTAAATTCAAGTGTAAATCCCAATAATATAAAGTTCACTTTGAAGTGCAAATTTCAATAATAATCAGGTTGGTTGAAGTATGTTTACAATTTTTTTTTTTTCAAATTTAAAAAAATGGTAAATATTTCTTCAAGTTCGGATTACGCCACCCAAAAATTGATAGGGAAAGAACTAATTATTGAAATGGAAAATTATCGAACTTAGTATTGAAGTTCGTTTCGGTTCGTAAATGCCCCTTTGTCCGCTTCTCGTCGATCGATGATGATAGGGTTAATAAATGTTGAAGTTGTGGAGTAAAAGTGATGATTTATTGACAGCAACTCGTAATTACACAATATGGTGTTCGTTCGGTAACTACTCAATATTGACTGTGTTCATTTGAACTCGAATCTCCAATTTATAATCTCACACATAATAGATACGTAAGCACCTTAGGTCATTGCTTCGTTCATATCACACCACCTAACTTTTGCTTATAATACAATTTAATCTACGCCTTAATTGCGACACTTAGGAAGTTCAATTAAAAAATATTATTATTCGGCAATTTATTTAGTTGTAGGTAAATGAACTAATTATTAAATTATCATACGATATGTTTTTGCAATATATATAATGCAAACTTATACACGGTGAAACTATAAAAGATTAAGAAGTTAAGAATAATGTGAGATTACAAATTAAGGGGTTAATTTGTGATTGAACAGAAACCAATGTGATATATGTTTCTTTTAAAAAGTTTGGACTGAAAAAAGATACAGTTATGCAATTTAGTCTAAAATGATCATAGTTAAATTGTACTTTAGGTTGTCGTTTTTTTACTTTTTACTTACTCTACTTTAAAATGTTAATATCTGTTTAATTTAATTTCTCTTAAGACATCTCTTTAAATTTTATAGAAGCTTATAACATAAAAGTATCACCTAAACGATATAATTTTAATTTTGTTTTTATTTTCAGATACTCTGTAAGACTTGCTGATCCATCGCTTAATGAAAAATGTGACAAAACATGTCTTCAGGAAATGCGCTGCAACATTGTTACCACGCAATCTGGACATCCTGATAAACGACAGTGCAAATAGAAAACTTTGTAATGTATTTAGTATTGTAATAAAGCTAAGAGAATAAAATTTATTTTTAACCAATTTAACTGTTGAATGTTTAGGTGCAATGACTAATGACAAAACAACAATATTTAAAATTGTTGACAGATTGGTCGGAAATCGTTCTCAAAATATAAACATAAATTTATGTTTATATTTTGAGAACGATTTCCGAAGTGGAGATTGAAACGTCAATAAACTTATTTTAATCTTCAATTGTTGCTAATATTAAAATTATGTCAGAAAATAACTGATAATTGGTCATTTGGGACCAGATAGCAGTATACAAACACCGCACAGGTGTTAATAAAAAAAATTGTGGCTAATTCCCAATAAAATAGTAATTATGTACTTTAAAATGCCACAAGAGAATAGTTTCAGAAGAATATTAAGATAATAATAATAGTAATAATGTATATTATATAATATACCCGAAATTTAGGCGGCACACGCCCTTACGGTAGAGATCTATGAAGGAATATCACCGAGCCGCAAGTCCTTATCTCTTGCCGTACTGCTCCACCATAGGCCGATCAGATACCACCATATTCTAGACTATGCCGCAGATTCATTTAGAATTTTAAACTGCTGCGTTAGCCTTTTTGTTTTCTGTACACCGAGCTGGGGATCGAACACACATCCACTGAACCACTAGCAGTGAAGCAAGTGAGAATCCGGCCGCCCAGCCCGCTTGGCTATCTGACCGACGGCTTGGCTATCTGATAATGTATATTATAATAAGTTAAATATTTTGTACAAACAAATTGTTAACAAATAAATAAAAAAGAAATTCCCTGATGAACCAGAGGTTGTGCTCAGGTATTACATTCATTTACACTATTCAAATATTTGATGAATTTAATTAAAGAAGATCGCATCCAAAATTTCTGATCCAGTGTTCTCATGATTTCTCAATGATTTGTCTCATGTAGGTTTTATAGATCTTGGGTAAATAGTTAAATAGTCTAGGATTAAAGTATGTGAAATTGTGTTTTCCAATTGATTTATAAGAACTATTAATTTGGACATCGTTATGAACTTTTCTTCTAGCACTGTAAGTATGATCTATTGATTTTAATTCATGTTTGTTTTTGTATGTAAGGAAAATTATATTTAAAAAATATAACTGTCTAATATTTAAAATACCTGCTTGCTGATAATGACGTTTTGATGAATATATGCGAAATTTTTTTAGCATTATTTTCAAAAATCTCCTTTATAGTACTTTGAGTTTATTCAAATGAGAAGCATATGTTCCACCCCATGCTAAAATGGCATATCTCGACTCTATAAAAGAAAAGTATACTATCTTTAAGTAAGACCAAAAAGAAGGATATTGCTGAGATATCTAAATCAGTATAGTAACATTTTTAGAGTTTTACATACCATATCAATTCCATTTCAAGTGACAATCTATTTTAATGTACGCGTCATTGTAGCTTAGATTTAATTTCAATAAGTCGGGTAAATTATTTTGGTATATTGAAAATGATATGAAATAAACTTTGAAAATAAGGCAAATATCGAGCACAAATTTAATAATCAAACCTTGTCCAAGTACTTTCGCTTTCTACAGCATCATCAGGGGCATTTCGTCAAATTCGGGCCATCCAGCAAGCGCAGAATGTAATACACATGAGATTGGACATAAATTGTACATAACACTACATTAACACAAGGACAAACAGTTTAAAATTATTAAGAATTATTCTGACGATCTACATTCTTGTCGGCAACCGGAGAGAGAATTGAAGAGGTCCCTCTAAAAACGTTGCAACTGACAAGTTTTCATAGTGATGTTTTAATGTAAAATGGTTACTTATGCAGTTTAATATACAGTGGTGCTATCCTTTAGTCGTTAGTTGAATTAAACTATTATAATTTTTAGTACTGAAATTTGAGGTCAGTCTAAAAAGGTTACATATGTAAGAAACATGGCAGAAACAACGTCTATTTCTCCAATGTGTAGTGTTTTAAAAAAGGCAAATAAGGGTAAAAAACGAAAAATACACTATGACCAATGGCAGCAGGTAAAGAATAAAAGGTTAAAGAATAGTGGAAAAAGTTATATGGGCCACAAAAATATTGTAAAAGCCGAAAAACAGTGTCCAAATGAGGTGAGTCTAAAAACGTTACATGTGTATACTCTAACCTTAAATGTTTTTCCTGCGTTTTTGTTGTGTATTACAGCACGTCTATTTTAGGATTCAACTTGTTCGTTAACTTGCAACTATGATGGTTGTTCCGTGCTTAACCAGAATTTGGAAGTAAAAGTTGATATATTTAATCGTTTTTACCAGTATTCTTATAATGAGCAGCAGCGATTCCTTGCAGAGTGTATGGAGTTAAGAGAACCTAAACGAAGGATTGTGCCTGAAGATATATCCAAACGCCAATGTACTATCAAGTATTCACTTCCAGTAAATTTTATATACAAATGGTTGCAAGCCAGAATAATGAAGAGTTAAAGCAGCTACAATTTCAGTCAGAACTGCACCACAGAAAAGCAGAAAAGGCTTATAAAACGTTGGTAGAATATACACAGGCAGCTATTGAAAATGAAAATTTGGTTGTTCTCTGCGTTGATGTGCAACAGGTCCTTTTTACTCCTAATCTAAGCCATTCAGATGTCTATTACTAGAGACAATATTCTAATTATAACTTTTGTATTCATAATATGGGGAAGAATAGAGCAACAATGTGTGTTTGGCATGAAAGTGTAGGAAAACGGGGATCACTGGAAATTTCCTCCGCACTATTTCGCTACATTCAAAATAATTTTGAAATCCTGGGTCTACACCAGGAGAGAAAACTTATAATATGGTCTGATAGGTGTGTATGACAGAACAATAATTAGCGGATGGCAGCTTTGTATCATTACCTAGTTTCATTGCGTTATTTCACAGAGGTCAATCAGAAATTTCTAGTCACAGGACACAGTTTTCTTCCATGTGACCGCGATTTCGCCATTATTGAAAAGTTTAAGAAAACGGCAACCCTTCATGATCCTGAAGATGTTTTAAATATGATTAGGAATATAAGATAATCGAATCCATTTGATATTTTGGAAATGGAAGGACAATTTTTGGATATGTCGTCGATTGAACTGCAGATCTATAAACATCCCGATATCAAAATTACTGAAGCAAGATGGATCCAGTTTACTTACGACGAACCAACTGCTATTCGTATAAGAACATGCCACAATCCAATGCAGAACTGGATGGTTTATAATATAATAAAGAAACCCAAAGGAAAGAGATCCCAAACTGCCTCATTACCTGTGTACAACATAGTTGACCCTATCGATCTGCCAATCCTTTATCCTAATAAACTACCTATTAATGCCTCAAAAATGGCTGATCTTTAAAAGCTTATAGATTACTTACCTCCATATAAAAGAACTTTTTATCAATCGTTAGATAGTGCAGATCCAAATGTTATGTAGGATAAACACTTAAAAATTAAAAATAAAATAAAATCATACATTTTTTGTATTGTTTATATTAATAAACTATTTGTTTAATATTACATTTTACCGTGCATTTATTTTTCCTGTAATACTCCTTTAATCTAAACTGCGTTTTGTTGTAAAACGTTTCAAGTACATAATTATTATTAGTTAGATTGAATGTAAAAACGTTACATATGGGCATGTGTAACGTTTTTAGATTGAAAAAATCTAATTCTGTCTAATAGTATTAAAGTACATTTTAAAAATAAAAAAAAATTATAGCAATCTCTAACAATAATGTGTAAGCATCATATAAACGTATTTTTATTGTAACAGGGAAAGTTTCTATTGTTTTCTTCACTTTCTGTAAAAAAGTGATTTTGCTGTTTGCAACCTTTTTAGAGGGAGGTATTCAATTATCTCCGGTATGTTTTAGTTTTGTTTTCAATGCTCAATCAATATTGTGATATAAAAATTATGGCACTGGGTGCCAATGATTGAGTACACTGCCAATTACCGCTTGCCAATAACATAGTAATAAAAATATTTTTGCATTATTTTCCTCAATATTTATAATAAAATGACATTTAATTTGGGTTCAGTAATAATAGTAAATTATTAAAAAGAAAATCAAAATATCCCCCTATGATATTACCTTATTACCTATATTAGCAAAACTCTTTTCCTGATTAGTGCCAATAACTGAGTGGTTTACCCTACTAACCAGAGAACTACGAACGCAGAGAAGCGACACTCCTTTGATCTTGCGTGGGCAAGCCGCCAACGAGTGAAAATGACAGGAAAGCACCTTATTTTTTAATAGTCAGTGGGCATATTACACAATATAAATTCTTAAATAAAATTGAGCATTTATGTTGACTTTCAATAAATATGAAATATTGCACTGAAAAAATAATTACATGCAGGGCCGGCTTTTGTTGACATTCTAAATGGTGTAATTATTTTTGATTTACAAAAGGTTGCAAATACATCGCACAACGCAAAGTAATGGTGAAAATCGTATTGATGGAACCATAGATGAAAATACTTTTTTGTTTATTCTGATGTTGACGTTGATAATACAATAATACACCGATTCTTTTTGGCTTGTGTTGATACAAGATATAATTTGTTCGTCGTGGAATTTCCTAATAAATTATCTTTATCCTAATGACCTAAAAAATAATCAAAAAAGTATTACGAATCATTACAAGAGAGCATTAGGAAGATAAAACGAATTTATATTATTGTCATTACACATGATTCGGATATACATAGTAAATCCAGACTTTCAGTTTAAACTAATATTTGGATACAATTTATTTTGTTTACAATAGATTCAGAGTTAATACATACGATTTTTAGTTGATTGGTATTGCCTTTAAAATTGTTTGTAGTATCTAGTTTGCCTAAGCCGGATTTGTAACAATTATTTCTGGTTTTGTTGTTAACTGCGGTTAGTACAATTCTTATACTTGAAGTCAAAACGACGAACCATTGAACCTTCGAGCCAGATACTGGGATTGAGAACTTCATTTTTATAATCCAATGGATATGAAACTTTAAAGTTTGCTTGGTACTCCGTA